CCAAGAACAAAAATTGTGTCACATAGTGGAATAAGTTTGTAGCATATCCAGTTAGAGTTTTGTTTGTACCTTGTCTTAAAGCAGTAAAGCACTCAACATGACTAACCGGAGTGCATATGTATGTATGTATATATAAAAGAGAAAACAACATCAAATCAGAGCATAAACATGTAGATTGAAATTTAAGAACTACATATGAGTATCATGTTAACAAAATAGGAGTGTAAATAGGAGTGGTGCCAAATATACCAATATAAATTAACATAAAGCTGTTAGCTGCAAGTAATTAAGCCCCAGAAAGAGGATTTCAGATTTCCAGAATGGGCAGGGTGGCATAAAAAGTAAGGAAAATCCAAATTATGAGAAGGGAGTGTGTTAATTGGATGGCTCCAAAGGACTGATGTAAGACTCCGGAAAGGCTGGATTCAGCCTAACATTTGCCACTAGTGGTGTAAATATTGGTTTTTTTTTTTTTGCAGAACCATATGGATTTGGCAAAGGGTCACATCAAGGCCCTCCAAGAAGGAGACCTTTCATCCTCTCGTGGCATCGAAGCCTGCACCAATGCAGCAGATGCTCTCTTACAATGTATGAATGTTGCTCTTCAGCCAGGTAAGTATTTCCATAAGTTGTTAATGATAACCTTGTTTTCTGTCTTCGCTTTAAGCATTCAAGTTCCATTCTTTTTTCAAAAATTCTTGTTGTAACAGCAATCTCCTTTTTTTTTTTTTTTGGCTGGCAGGGCATGAGATGCTACATGCTGTCACTCAGCAGCAGCAGCGCTTTACTGACCTGCGTGAGCAGTTTGCACGGAGACTAGCCAGTCATCTCAACAATGTATTCGTTCAGCAGGTATTTTTTTCCTACTCTTTTTTTTTCATCTGTAAAATATGCAATCATTTCTTCAATTCAGTTTTCAGAGATTCCAAAAATTGTGGGTTACATTCAGATTTAAGAGTTTGGAAATGAGCAGGAAGATGCAGAGTTCCTTGCCCCTCTTTCCTCAAGGGACTTAATGAGTTTATGAAAACATTGCACAGATGATTGAAGGAGACTTCTGAATGAGGTTGGTGGGGGATCCTTGATTTAGCATTGTACAGGAGGACTCTAGAATGTGCTGAGGAGAGTGTGAGGAAATCCTATATATATATCACATAGACTTTGCTTAAGTTAACTGACTATTATGTTGTTGCTCAGGAAATGAGACATATGCTAGAAATGGGTATGAAATCAGGTAGCCCTGAACAGACTTCCATGTGATGATTTATTTATTTGATTTCTATCTCACCTTTCTCCCAGACGTGGGGTCCAGGATGGCAGTGGAATATGGGTAAAAGCCTTACATCTTGATGTTGGAGTTTCAGTGCACAGATATCCAAGTGCTTTTCTTGTGAGATGCTTTAGTAGTAAAACCAGAAACTGTTAAAGACAGAGTGATGGACAATTATTTGAACCTAGTCTTTTGCAACAAGTTGGGGTTTCTGTTCATCCTGCTATCCCAAATAAGATTTCTTTGGATATATGCTCAATTTGAATAAAAGGGATTTGGACTTGAAGATTTAAAAAATCTATTCAGATGTGATCTTGAAGGCTGGTCATACTAACCCCTCCATCCAGTATTTGTCTACTGTTCATATTGGATTTATTTATTTACCATATTTATATCGCGCCCTTCTCACCTCAAAGGGGACTCAGAATGGCATTTGCACGTAGGCAACAATTCAATGCCATAAAAAACAACATACAATTAAAATAAACATACATTAAAACCACAGAAATTAAAAACATCTAAACATTGAACCAGTTGTTAAAACCACACAGTCTAAGATTGTAATCTGAAGCCATTCCAGTTGTAATTGCACATATTCCATATCCTTTATTGCACTACAATTATCCAAACGCTTGGTCCCATAGCCACGTTTTTGCTTTCTTTCTGAAGGCCAAGAGGGAGGGGGCTGACCTAATCTCACTTGAAAGGGAGTTCCACAGCCGAGGGGCTCCCACTCAAAAAGCCCTGTCTCTCGTCCTCACCAACTGCACCTGCAAAGGAGGTGGAACCAAGAGCAGGGCCTCCCTGAGAGTAGTGATAAGTAAGTCATGAGGATAGGCATAGCAGCTGGATGCGCTGCTGTGGTAATAAAAGCTGCCTCTCCCCCCCCCCCCCCCCCCCCAAACATTCTTCCATTTTGATAAAATCTGCTTTAGGAATACAGTACAACTCCCTTAACTGTAGTTTCACTTCCCCACATTCCAAAAATATTCCCTCCGGAAGTGTTTGTGGGCCTTTTTAGGTCTTCCAGCATCAATCCAACTTGAGCATAATCAAATGTGCTTGAGTTGGAAGGGTATCAGTGACAGGCTCAAATTTAAGGTTACAATTAACTTTTCTATATTGTGGGTGCATTCATACACTTACTTGTATATAAGGTAACATTGTCTTTGACAAATGAACCTTCAATCTGTAAACCTTTCTTTTGTTTTAAAATCTCATGATCACAATTCAGAGTGAGCTGTGTGGTCATATCTCTTCAACAATTTCTTTTATTCCTGTATTTTATCTCCAAATAGTTTATAGAGCTGGAGAAGGGTCTCAGTAACAGGTCCTACTATCTTTCAGTTTCTGTGAGTACAGAGTTCAAAACAAACTGCTTTGATTTTATACAGCCTCTTTTTTAAAAGCTTGCTGAGCCTAACTTTTCTGCAGTGTTGCCTCTGCAAAATCAAAAGCGTAAGCTAAATGGCTTGAGGCAGCAGATCACTTCTAGCTGTTACCTCAACTCCAAAGCTTCCTCTGTAAGTGATTGATATGCTTTTGTGAGAGATGCATAACCAAGGGGAAAATACATTGAATCAATATGCATAATTGGGGGGAATTGGGATCTGTCTTATGTACGTTATTTGTGTATGACTGGTGAGTGAATGCTATCTCAAAGTAGGCCATATTCAGTGGAGTAGCATGTTAGTACTAAAAATTGAATTGGAGCTGCGCCATGTGTTTTTCTTATAATAAAAATCACATGTGACCTGTGGCAAATGTAATGTAAAGTGTACCTGCTTTAGGAAGCCGGCCAGCAAGGCCCTCTTCCAGGAGTGCTTTATTTAGCCCCATCTTCTCCCTTTCCCTCAAACAAAGAAGCTTTTGTGCCTCTTGATCACACTAAGCTCTCATTGGGCGATTTCGACCTTTCCTTTCCTACAGTAGAATTTGTTCTGAAATGTTTGCATTTTTGCAAATGGAAGTATCTACTGATACTTCCTACATGCGTAAGTGATGCCCTTTGGCTACATTGGGACCCACACTCAGAGTGAGTTTGATGTTACTCTATAGATTGTTTGATGACTTTGAGCTCTGCCTTTCATAACTCAAGAAATTGAATGGTTTTCATATTCTATTGTAAATTATGCCTAACATAAATTTAGATGTTGATTCTCTTGGATATATTCAGTTAGTAGTTGTATGAATGGGCTACAAAGTGGCTGAAATGTATTTGAATTATGTCTATTAACTGGCATTGTTTGGTATCTAACACCTTGTCTGGAGTTGCATTTGAAATGTGTACATCAACTTTATGTTGAAATGTCTCACTTTTGATTTAAATTAAAAGAATTTTGGAAAATTTGGCTCAACCAGATGTCCATAGGTACCACTCCCCAAAATACTTAGTTTTCATAATTTTATGAAATATGTGATCAACATTTCAAGTTAAAATACGTCAGCATGTTTTTTTTAATGTAAGGCTATTGAGAAAAAGCTTGAAATTTCAAGCCAAAAAAGCAACTCCAGATGAGATGAATGCATTATGATTGCAAGAAATTACTCCTAACTCTTAATCTGTAGTTCTGGATTAATTTTGTTCTTATAAATATTTGTTTCCAAACTGCCTTGAGCTTGTATTCTTTCTTTCAGAGCACAGAAAGGATCAATTGGAAGTCATACTTCATAACTTGCAAAAATTCCCTTTCACTAACTAATTTTTTCAAAGTTTTCCTGTTTTGCGATTTTACTGGAGTGCTCTTTCAGACAACTCTCTTCTTCTGCTTTCTTCCACCAAGGGTCACGACCAAAGTTCCACTCTTGCTCAGCATTCCATTGAGCTGACATTGCCCAACCATCATCCCTTCCACAGGGACTTGCTCCGATATGCCAAACTCATGGAGTGGTTAAAGAACACAGATTATGGAAAATATGAAGGACTAACAAAGGTGAGTGGCTCAGAAAGGGGAAAATTGACTTAAAATAGGAAGTATAATCCTATTTTATAATCCTAAATTATTCTTCTCATAAATAAGAAAACAGGATTATTGTTGTTTCTCCCACAATGTTGTCCTCATATTGCACTTCCCCCAACCTTACTGAAGGCCTGACTCCACTGTTCCCTCCCCTACGAGCTCCTCCCTTACAAATATACTTTTTTCATTGTTATCTCATCCAGAGTTTTATCATTTTATGTCGTACATTTGGCTTGCCTACTATGTTTGATTTTTTCATTTTGTTATTTTGCACTGTTTTATTTTACTTGTATGTTTTACTTATTTTATTGTGATGTTATTTTTTGCTGTTCTGTATTTATTTTGCTGTAATGTATTATCAGGCTTGGCCTCATGTAAGCCACTCCAAGGCCCCTCTGGGGAGATAGTGGCAGGGTATAAATAAAGATTATTATTATTATTGACACAAAATCACAGTATGCCACAGCAAATGAGATCTATATGCTGGATTTCGTATCACAAAATCACAAGTCAAACACTTCCCAAGCGTCTAGTGTGATGTATTTTCGAATGATGCGCGCAGATCCAAGTAAGGTGGCCTTTTGCAGTTGACAGATTGTGATTTGTTTGTTGTTTCCAAATGCCGGCTGACATCTTTTTGGCGCAGCACCCAGTGTGCCAATGACCACTGGGACCACCTGTACTGGTTTATGCCAGAGCCTTTGCAGTTCGATTTTGAGGTCTTGATAGCCGCTGAGTTTTTCCTGTTGTTTTTCCTCAATGCGTGTGTCACCTGGTATGATGATGATGATGATGATGATGATGATGATGATGATGATGATGATGATGATTCACTGGTCTACTGGCCTTTGAACTTTGTCAAGGTAGCATTTCCCTAGCTGCCCCACCACTCTGCCCTCTTTATTCAATGTTTCTTCCGCTTGATTTCTCAAAGTCATGTTGTGGAAAACATGCTGCATGTTGTCAGTAGTGTTTCCTATCAAACCAGTATTTCATTTTAAGTTCCTTCACATATAGAGATATATAAGGGGTTATGAGAATCTGTCTTCCTTTAGTTGTTTTTCTGCAAATCCCATTGATTCTTTGTCCCAGTTTATTTCAATTCAGAAACACTTTTTATCACAGAAAGATATACATAGCTTTTTAAATGTACCTATTTTTACTAATGAACACATATTTACACCATACTGTGATTATCATATCATTACAAGAATCGACACACCAGAAAAAAACCAATATGTAACACATTTTTATTCCTGGGTTATAAATGTCATTTCCTAATTGGTTATATCATAAAATATGGGAAAAGTTTATTAAACTGCAAAAACTTTGTTTTGGTGCGACATACTGCAGCACCTTTTGCTATAGTTTTTCAATGAATATCTCAGACAATCCAACATTGTTTGTGGCAGCCACAAAAACAAAGTTTCTGGTGTATAACAACTACTTTCAAAGAAAGTACCACACAATTAAATAGGAAATAACACTTTCAAACCAGGAACAGAAAGTTTGTCAAATTTTGTTACATACTATAATGCTTAGTAAGATAGAGGGCAATAGGAAAAAAGCCTACATTCCAAATGGACAGATTCAATCAAGGAAGCCATGTGCCTATGTTTGCCTAATGTGATCAAGGAAGCCATGTGCTTATGTTTGCCTAACCTGAGGATAGGGTGACTGTCATTCATAGAGTCGGCATCCATTGGAGTAGATATGAAGGCAGCTGACAACAGCAAACAGATGTTTATGCATTTTGCCATTGACTAAACAGGACTTACATACATATTGTACATACTCGGGTATAACTTGACCATATGAATAAGTCAAAGGCAGGTTTTGAGATAAATATTATAGATTTTCATGTGACCTATGGATAAGCTGAAGGTTATTCTTCAGAGAAGGAAAACAGAATTGCCATCTTAGAACCAGCCACGCCTGGGAACTTCCACCACCATCATTTCCCATCTTAGGCATTCAGAAAAGGTCAGAAGTGGTGCCTTGGCAAAGAGCATAGAGGGAGTCAGTGCTTCTTTCCCAAAAACTCTTGCCTTTTGCAAAGAAGAAGATGATTCTCTTTTTTTATAAGAATTAAGGTATAGGAATTATATTGACCTGTGGTTAAGTTGATCTGGATTTTTTTTTTACTGAACTATATCAACTTATTCATGAGCATATATAGGGTATTTCATATGCATACCTGTATGTGGTTTTGTTGACACTTTTTCTCCCCTGCATCACAAGCCTTTGATGTGTATATATTTGCATAGCAAGATATGCTTCATCCCTTAGGATTTGTTTAAAACAGAAAAATGCTAACCAGCGTTTTTTGTCCCTATTCACCTATAGTTAGGTCTTGAAGCTAAGACTAAGATGTTTAACATACTTATTACTATTTTTTGCATTGATACTCATTAATCACACTAAAAGGTAAAGATTTCACCTGACATTAAGTCTAGTTGTGTCCGAATCTGGGGGGTGGTGCTCATTTCCATTTCTAAGCTGAAGGGCCGGCGTTGTCCATAGACACCTCCAAGGTCATGTGGCCAGCATGACTGCATGCAGTACCGTTATCTTACCGCTGAAGTGGTACCTATCGATCTACTCACATTTGCATGCTTTTAAACTGCTAGATTGGCAGAAGCTGGTCCTAACCGTGGGAGCCCATCCCTCTCCCCAGAGTTGAACCACCAACCTTTTGATCAGCAAGTTCAGCAGCTCAGCGGTTTAACCCGCTGGGCCATCAGGAACCTCGTAATCACACTACTTGTACATTATTTCTCTACCCCAGCAAGTTTGATCCAAACAAAATTAGGAGGTACCGAGTTCTGCGAGGTTTTTTTCCATATCACAGTAAATTTATCATTTCAAAACCATGGACTTCCCAAACAAATGAGGAGCACTGTTATTGTGAACTTTTCACAATAATTTCTTATTGTGTAGTAAATATCATTTGAATTTTGCACTGTAATGATTTGTTAATTTAAGGTTACCTTGTTTTTCTTTTTCATTGGAAAGCAGTATGGTCTCCAGTCAAATAAGGTCCTCTTATTTTCTTCTTTTTTTTTTGCACTCAGCTAGGTTCTAGTATAGGGAACGATCTGTTGATTTGTCAGAACAATCCTAAATACATGTTTATAAAAACGTCCTTTTTTTCTCTTCCTATTCTGCATCTGTTTTTCTTTAAAGAACTACATGGATTACTTATCTCGGTTGTATGACAGGGAAATCAAGGATTTCTTTGAGGTTGCCAAGATTAAAATGACAGGTGCAAGCAAAGAAGGAAAGAAGTTTGGTAAGTTTTTCATAAGAGCTTGCTCTTTCAGTTTAGCATCAGAGATGGAAGAATATATCAGATTGAGATCAAAAGTCTGCTTGAGTAGTTCATACAATGGTTTTAATCTATTTTACCTATAGTTGACCTTGCTGTTTGGGAATTTTGGGACCTATAGTCCAAGATGAATGTTTCTAAATTATGGACAGAACGAAATCATCTTTGCAAAGAAAGTGAGGAAACAGTGATGCAATTGTTGAGCTACCAGCATAGTCTTCCATATAGCCACAAACTATGCCACTACAACATCTACCAGCCAGCAAAACATTAGTTATCATATTTTAAAGTGCCAAGTTTCATTTGCAGACAAAACAAAAAAATAATAATGAGAAAATGGCAGAGAAGGTGAACAATGAAAGGGAGATATCTATATCAGCTTCAAAAGTCCGCTAATGTACAAAATACAGGCAAGTGATTCAATCCTTCTCAGATTGCCAGGTTTTACTTCTTTGCTTTTAAGTAGTGCTACACAGTCACATCTTACATTTTAACCAAGATAGCCTCAGGATGCAAACCGGTGCATATTAATTTAAAAGTCAGACCCACGAAATAAAGAACAATTTACTTTTCGGCATAGTATTACACAGCACATCTAGTTTCCCCATGGAAACTGTAAATAAAATCCTCTATGTACACATATGCAGTCTATGTTTTTATTTCTTAGTGATATAGTGGAGTGGATGTTCTAAGCCTTGTTTAGTACTGGGTGAATTGTTCTGTTCTGTGCTTTTGTATTTTTCATCCAACAGCTTGTCCCTGAATTTTACCAAATTTGTATCTGTGTAGGGATATACTCAAAACCAGTGCTACTCAACTTTTGGTATTTTGCATTTCAACTTCTTGAAACCCTTGCCAGTGTGGCTGGTGATAAAGATTTCTGAGAGCTATGGTCTAAATCATGGTCTAAAAGTTTGAAGGGCAAAGTTTAAAAAACAACCATGCCAAACAAAAGGAAGCTATTGGTTAACTACTGTGAAGTTATAGCAAATAACAGTCTGCCTACACAAATGCTGCCCACCTTAGATATCAGCATGATAGCAGAGCAGCGATCCGTTCTTTCAGTATTCCATACTTAAACTGAAATTAAAATACACTTTGGACTGTATTTCTTATAATCTTGTTACTTTATGGAAATACGTCTGTGGCATTGAGAAACATCTAAGTTGTTAGTAATGATCTGAAACTCCAATCTTACCAGATTTACAGGAGATTGGGATTTAGATCATAGAATCATAGAATCAAAGAGTTGGAAGAGACCTCATGGGCCATCCAGTCCAACCCCCTGCCAAGAAGCAGGAATATTGCATTCAAATCACCCCTGACAGACGGCCATCCAGCCTCTGTTTAAAAGCTTCCAAAGAAGGTTGGCGTTGGAGTCCCAACGGCTCCTTGTACTGGGGGACTTCAGTGTTCACGCCGAGGCTACCCTAGTAGGAGCGGCTCAGGACTTCATGTCTTCCATGGCAACCATGGGGCTGTCCCAATGGGTATCTGGCCCCACTCACAGTGCTGGACACACGTTAGATTTGGTTTTCTCCCAGGGATGGGAGCATGGTGGCAGTATTGAGGAGTTGTCCATCTCTCCGTTGCCATGGACCGACCACTACCTGGTCAGATTTAGACTCACTGCACCTCCCAACCTCTGCAGGGGTGGGGGACCCATTAAGTTGGTCCGCCCCAGGAGGCTTATGGATCCGGATGGATTCCTGACGGCTCTTGGGGAGTTTCCCGCCACCTCGGTAGGTGATCCTGTTGATGCCCTGGTCGCTCTCTGGAATGGGGAGATGACTAGGGCAATAGACACGATCGCTCCAGAACGTCCCCTCTCAAGTAGCCGAGCTAAACCAGCCCCTTGGTTCACTGAGGAGCTGGCAGCGATGAAGCGAAGGAAGAGGGAACTAGAGAGCGTGTGGCGCTCGGATCCAAGCGAGCCAAATCGAACACGGTTTGTGTCCTTTCTAAGGGCATATGCCGTGGCAATAAAAGCCGCAAAGAAACTTTCTTTGCTGCGGCCACTATTGCGTCTGCTAAGAACCGTCCGGCGGAGCTGTTCCGAGTTGTCAGAGGCCTTTTAAATCCCATCACTCAGGATGGGAGCCCTGATAACTCGGTAGCTCGCTGTGAAGCTTTTGCTCGGTTCTTCACGGACAAAGTCGCTTTGATTCGTTCTGGACTGGATTCCATATTAACGGCAGTCTCTGAGGATGTAGCTGGAGCATCTGCTTGCCAGGTTTTGATGGATTCATTTCAATTGGTGAAACCCGAGGATGTGGACAAGATACTTGGAGGAATGAGGCCTACCACATGCATCCTAGACCCCTGTCCATCCTGGCTTTTGAAGCAAGCCAGAGGGGGATTGGCCGAGTGGGTAACGGTGGTGGTTAATGCCTCCCTTCGGGAAGGCAACATTCCAGCGAGCTTAAAACAAGCTATAATAAAACCGCTGTTGAAAAAACCATCACTGGACCCCACTCAATTTGACAACTTTCGGCCTGTTTCCAATCTCCCCTTTTTGGGCAAAGTCCTGGAACGTGTGGTGGCTTCACAACTCCAGGTTTTCTTGGACGACACGGATTATCTGGATCCGGCGCAGTCTGGCTTCAGACCAGGACATGGTACCGAGACAGTCTTGGTCGCCTTAGTGGATGATCTACGCCGGGAGCTCGACAGGGGGAGTGTGTCCCTGTTGGTTCTGCTGGACCTCTCAGCGGCCTTCGATACCGTCGACCACGGTATCCTTCTGGGACGCCTCGCGGGAATGGGCCTTGGAGGAACTGTTCTGCAGTGGCTCCGGTCCTTCCTAGAGGGTCGATCTCAGAAGGTGTTATTGGGAGACACCTGTTCTACCTCACAACCTTTGTCTTGTGGGGTTCCTCAGGGTTCAATACTGTCTCCCATGTTGTTTAACATATACATGAAGCCGCTGGGGGAGATCATCCGGAGTTTCGGGGTGCGGTGTCATCTGTACGCAGATGATGTCCAACTCTGTCACTCCTTCCCACCTGCTACTAAGGAGGCTGTCGAGGTCCTGAACCGGTGCCTGGCCGCTGTAACGGTCTGGATGAGGGCGAACAAATTGAAATGAATCCAGGCAAGACAGAGGTACTCCTGGTCAGTCGTAAGGCCGAACAGGGTATAGGGTTACAGCCGGTGTTGGACGGGGTTACACTCCCCCTGAAGACGCAGGTTCGCAGCTTGGGTGTGATCCTGGATTCATCGCTGAGCCTGGAACCCCAGGTTTCGGCGGTGACCAGGGGAGCATTTGCACAATTAAAGACTTGTGCGCCAACTGCGCCCATACCTTGGGAAGTCTGACTTGGCCACGGTGGTCCACGCTCTTGTTACATCCCGATTAGATTACTGCAACGCTCTCTACGTGGGGTTGCCTTTGAAGACTGCTCGGAAGCTCCAAATGGTCCAACGATCAGCAGCCAGGATGCTAACAGGAGCAGCACTCAGGGAGCATACAACTCCTCTGTTGCGCCAGCTCCACTGGCTGGCAATTTGCTACCGGGCACAATTCAAAGTGCTGGCTTTAGCCTTTAAAGCCCTAAACGGTTCTGGCCCGACCTACTGTCCGAACGCATCTCCTCCTATGAACCAGTTAGGACATTAAGATCGTCCGGGGAGGCCCTGCTCTCGATCCCGCTGGCCTCACAAGCACGGCTGGCTGGGGACGAGAGACAGGGCCTTCTCAGTGGTGGCCCCTCGGCTGTGGAACGCCCTCCCCGCAGACATTAGATCGGCTCCCTCCCTACTGGTGTTCAGGAGAAGAGTGAAGACCTGGCTCTTTGAACAGGCGTTCAATTAAGCAGTGCAATCAATTGACTGAGTTTGGAACTGGAATAATGGACGAGGAGATCGGATTATGACTTTACTGATGAGACGTGATGGATTAGTTATTTGGATGTATTGATGTTATGTTGATTTACTGATGTATTGTTGTATTGTTTTAACTGCTTTAGTGACTGTTTAAATGTTAATGCTAATACTATGCACTTTGTATATTGACCTGTTGTAAACCGCACTGAGTCGCCTACGGGCTGAGATAGTGCGGTATACAAATAAAGTAAATAATAATAATAAAGAATAATAAGGAGCCTCCACCACACTCCGGGGCAGAGAGTTCCACTGCTGAACGGCTCTCACAATCAGGAAGATTATTGTGTTCAAATGCGGGTCCATCCTATTTTGAAAATTGGCCCATCTGAGTGTTAAAATGGTTGCTTCATTTTGCACTTGATCTTCACTATAATTTATTTACCATATTTATCTCCCGCCCTTCTCAACGCCAAAGGGGACTCAAGGCGGCCTTACACATAGGCAACTATTCAATGCCTTAAAAGCAACATACACTTAAAATAAACATTTAAATTAAGATTAAAATTAATGTAGATCAAAGCAGTTTAAGACATTACACCCATTGTATTGTCGAAGGCTTTCATGGCTGGAATCACTGGGTTGTTGTGGGGTTTTTTGGGCTATATGGCCATGTTCTAGAGGCATTCTCTCCTGACGTTTCGTCTGCATCTATGGCAGGCATCCTCAGAGGTAGTGAGGACCGCACTACCTCTGAGGATGCTTGCCATAGATGTAGGCGAAATGTCAGGAGAGAATGCCACTAGAACATGGCCATTTAGCCCGAAAAAAACTAAAACAACCCATTACACTCATTATTAAAACCAGAAGATACTGGACTCCAGCTTCCCTTAGCCTTCACTGTCGGGTATGCTGTCTATGGTTGACTGGAGTTGCAGTCTATCAACATCTGGAGAACTACCCATTCCTTACCTGTGTTGTATAAGAGTCCAGTAATGTTATTCTAATTTTTTTATGAGCACTTACTGCTAAATAAATGCTACTAAACCCAAAATCTGTTCCTGAAAACATTGGGGGGCAGTAAGAGATCATAGAGCATATTTCTCCAGTACACCTGCAGTCACCTTTTGGGCAGCTGAGTACCTTGAATAAGATATCTCTTCTGTGTTACATCTGGATCTCCTTCTGGCACAGCTGGTAACATAGAGTCCCTTGTATAGTCAAAGTTCATTGTTGTTGGTTTGTTCTTCCTTGTTTAAATAAAAATTGGGAAATCATTCATGACCACTGCGTTACACCTTTTCTGTATAGTAAATATTTGAGACTGGTACCTCCCCAGCTATGTTTGTTTGCAACTTGTAGTTTACTTGCTTCTCATAGTTCTCTGCATGTTTCTTTCCAGCTAGTGCTTAACTTGCATCTCGTGCATGGTTTGTGCAAAATGCATTTTTAACTTGTCTTTGTCTTTGATGCTTGCAACTTAATCCATCCCAGCTACACTGCCACGAAAAGAAAGTGCTGTCAAACAGGAAACAGAGAGTGAGTATGACTAGTGCTTTAAAGTGGTTGTTGCCAATGCATTCATGTCTTTGTAAAAAGTACTTGTAATGGCAAAACCTATGAACTCCAGAATTGTCGGATGTAGTGTCCTGGCACAAAATTGTGCACGCTACAGGAAAGCTACATTTTTATCTGGGAGGTCAGCAAAATACAATAATTAGTTCCTGCAGGAGGTTTCCTGTGGGATCTTCAACTATATGCTGAACACAACAGAATTTCAACTTAGGCCATAACTGCACAGGATATTTTTGGAGGCAAGCTATGCATCTTATGTTTCTAAAATTCATACTGCAGCTATACTTCACTCCATATAGATTCCCTGCTGAGCTGCACTACACATGGGAATGATCACAAATCCATTATGGAGACTGCCAAAAATGATACTCAAAGAGTCTTACCAGTGTGGGGTTCTTCCATACCACACAAGGCCTGCTATTGGAGGAATGTTCACTCCCTTATTGCAGCCTTTCTAGTTTTAAGTGTATCTTTGCTAGAAACGATTTTCCTTTTAAGACCTGAGTGAAGAAACGTAGTTAGATTAGCCCTTTTTTTAGATCAGGAGTTCCCAAACCTGTTTTTTTTTTAGATCAGGAGTTCACAAACCTGGTCATAGAACCCTTCAGAAGACTCCCCCACCCCATGGTACTCTATCTCTGTCCTTAAACACTGTGAACCCACAGAATTCTTCCTTCTTACACCTACTCCTATTGCCCGTGTCCCTTTGTATAATATAAGTTTTGAAATAAAGAGATTCAAATTTATTTTTAAAGCAAGGTCTTCATATTCTGGTATAGATTTTTAAATTTTTTAAAAAGTTAATTATGACATAATATAATAAACTATTTATATCCCACGCCTATCTCCACAAATATTTTTTTCATGGAACCCCTATGATGCTTTAATGGAACTCTAGGGTTCAACAGAACACAATTTGGGAACCACTGTTCTAGATGACCACTTCACTTTATCCGTGATGTCATGTTAGGTAGTTTCCCACATTTTATCATGGTCTTTTTCTCATTTTAAAGCAGGGGTCCTCAAACTAAGGGCTGGCTACGGCCCTCCAAGGTCATTTACCCGGCCCTCGCTCAGGGTCAACCTAAGTCTGAAATTACTTGAAAGCACACAACAACAACAACAATCCTATCTCATCAGCCAAAAGCAGGCCCACACTTCCCGTTGAAATACTAATAACTTTATATTTGTTAAAATTGTTCATTTTAATTACTATATTGTTTTAAGTGTTTTTTTGCACTATAAATAAGATATGTGCAGTGTGCATAGGAATTCATTCATGCTTTTTTGAAATTATAATCCAGCCCTCCAACAGTTTGAGGGACTGTGACCTGGCCCTCTGTTTAAAAAGTTTGAGGACCTCTGTTTTAAAGGATTGAATATCTCTCCTTTGGCTTAATGACTGGCACTAAGAGCTTTAAGCTAACATGCACTTGTATTTTTGAGGTTCCATCTTTTTGTCTTTACCCCAACCCATCATTGGAATACTGCTTCCAAGAACTTTTACGAAGTTGAATTTAACTCTTGGGTGGAAAGAGAATCCCCCCTTCCCCTATGGCATTCCCTAATTTCAATTCATATAATACAGCCATTTATATCCAGTGACTTTCTGATGATTGCCCACAGTTTCCAGTATAGTAGACTAGCCTGTTTCAAAAATATACCCACAAGTTGTCTGAATATTGGCTTGTCTGAAGGTAAAAGGACTCTTAAAGTAATTGAAGGCAAGCAGGCAAACACACACTTTTTACCACAAACATTGAACTCCTGGCATACTTAGGTTTTCTACCATCCTTGGTTTTGTGAAGCCGTAGAAGCCATAGCACCACCATCTGCACAGGCATCAAATCACCTGTAACCTCCATCCTACATTGTTTGTGCATAGAACATTCTCATGCTGCTGCTTGGTTGCAGGCTTTTGGCAACACTGTGTGGCTGGAGGCTACAGTGACTTCATGAAACTGGAAGTGTTGTAGTCTTAAGTCTTTAAGATGCCATTGTGCTGGTTGTTACTTAGATGGTATTTTCATTTCAGAATATTATGTTGAATCCAGCCATGCTGTAGCATAAACAGAAGGCATTTGTGATCACGTAAAGGATTGTTTTTTATAGTCTTTCTTCCTGCATCAAACACTGGTCAGGTTCACAGATCATGACAAAACTTAGCTTCACATTTCAAGGATGGCTCTCGGTGTCTCATAATCTATTCTGTTCCAGTGTTTCTTCAAGGACGAGTTTGGAAGCTTTTACTTCTATTTCAGACATAACAATTTCATAGTATTTAAGATTAATCACAGTTTTGAGTTTGGACAACACACTTAGCGGTGATTAATATACACAGAATTGCACAGGAGAAGGAGCGTGAGAGTCCTAGCCATGCCAAGGCTTAGTCGCCAAGCTATGATTTAAATTCCATCCATACAAATGTACAGTGTGTTGAATTCCCAGGCTAGAAGGATTACTTGTGTGTGTTAAAGAATGGAGTAGAAAGCCCTATTTACTCAGGAGTAGAAAGCCCTATTTGTTAGAATTTAAGCCAAAATCTTTTGCTTTTAAATTATTACAGGAAAATACAAAACTCCAGTTACACAGCATGTATTTTTATCTCTCTTTAACTGAAGTGGAAATTTGTAACAGATTCATGAATACATACACTGTTTAGTAGAGAGTAACATTCCCAAAATCTTTTGGTAATAGATAAACTCTTCCTTGGGAGATAAAGTCCATCTGCTAAGGGTTGGCTGCAGTTGACTTACTAATAGAGGACTTGAGAACATGGGCGTGTGGGCTTCTTTATCTTTCTAGTAGGTGTGTGGTACTATTTTCTTTTTTAAAGGAAATAGTAATGTCTTGCTTTGTGTTCCGCTTTGCTTTTAGAAGATGCCACTTAATGAATTGCCTTTCTGTATTCCCCCTTATCTGTGCTCTTTTCTGGAATGTTATGGGCCCCACATTACTTCTTGCATTTGCTCATTCCAAGTGTCTGTCACTGAGTATTGTTTTTGAACAGTTTCTTCTATGTGGTTTCACCTCCGTGAAGAAACGTGTGAGTGTGAACTCATTCTGCCTATTATGTAGGGGAAGTATTGAAAGTCTTCAGAGAGGGGCAGAAATGTTTAAATGCACAATAAGCACTATATTGCAGAGTATATGATTGTCCATTTAGTATAGCTTCTTTACCCAACTTTCACTGTTGTCATAGGCCTTCATGGAAGCTCCGGGAAGCTGACAGGTTCAACTTCTAGCTTAAACAAGCTTACAGTTCAAAGTTCAGGAAATCGCAGGTCTCAGTCATCTTCTTTGCTAGACATGGGGAACATGTCTGCTTCAGACCTTGATGTGGCTGACAGAAGTAAGTTTGATAAGGTAAGATGAGTGTGTGTTCGCTGAAACTGCATGCTGTAATTTCAGTAGCAACATAGTAATATAATGCAATTGTCATGATTTCCATCTCTCTATTTTGTATGTGACATGAGAGACCCTCTGTGCACTCTCTGTTTCCCAAAAGACGAAGGTAGTATTTGGAGTCCTAGGTCACTTGGAAGAAGCGTAGGGAGCACCTCTTCCCCTTATCATTTTTGTTTCTTCCCGGAACTGAGACTGTTTTTATTGGAGGTACTTCAGTGCAAACACAACACTACTACATTAAAGTGGGGTTTTACATAGTCAAAACAAGGCAAGAATGAGGCTGTAGTAGGCTAGAGGTGCTGGTTTTTGAAGAAGAAAATGGCTTCTTTATACAGTTTATCAGATACATAAGGCCAAAAATTTACACTACTGATTCCCAAATTTAAGATCATTGGCTGGCATTTAGTATTTCAGTTGTGGATTCGTAACCTAGAGTTACAGATCCATAACTGTTCTGTGTTCAGTATGAGCAGTTATGCCTGTTCTCATCCTACCTTATCAACAAGCAGCCAGGTTAAGTGAAGTCTTTTCAGCTTTTGATCACGGAGAAAAAAGTGTGACATTTCCACCAGGATCTTTACTTAATTATATGTACATAATTAAAAAGGTGATGTAGAATGTCAGTCTTTATAGAATGTACATAGTTAAGAATGTTTTTGTTAGGTACAGTCACTTTTTCAAAGTAACAGAATTTGAAAAAATGTTTTTATGATGTAACCATTTGGAAATGAGATTTATAACCCAGAAACAAAAATCATGTTACATTTTGTAATAGGAAGATCCCCAAGTTTGTCCATTAGTGTGTAAGGAAGGAATATGAAATCCCTTGTCTTTTGGGTAACTAAACTAAACCTTCCCAAAGTTATTAAGGAGGTGCTGAAACTTTTTGTTGGGAGTAGAAACATCAGTGGCTAACCATAAGATAATTGTTCAGTTTCAGTATCTCAACCCTTTGAGATATGTTGTGGAAAGAATATTGCATACTTCTCTCCTTTCCTCACTCCAGTTTCATTTTTGGTCATGGCCGATAAATAAAAAGATCCTCAGTTAAATCCAATGGCAGTGGTATTTCTATGTGCTAAACATATATTTTAACCTTTGTAGATTTTTGAACAAGTCCTAAGTCAACTAGAGCCACTGTGTTTGGCAGAACAAGACTTCATAAGTAAATTCTTCAAACTCCAACAACACCTTAGCATTCCTGGAACCCCAGTGGTATGTCCCTTAATATCTAAGATTGACTCAAAAATTGAATTCTTGTAACTCTGGAATGACTTTGATATAAGCCATCACTTTTTTTTTCAGAGTGATGCTGAAGAAATAGATGGAGGAACTCTATCAAGAGTTCACAGTGGCCCACAGTCAATATCTTCTGAGTATGTTTCTGTCGTTTAATGTTACTAGCTTCTTATCATTCAGACCTGCATGTATCTTGAATTAATTGACAGTCTTAAAGTGGATGCCTCTTGTGTGATAACAGACGGGGCAGGAAATACGTCGTACAGCAACAACATGTTCAATCTCTCTTTATTTATGAAATACTGCATGAATTTTATTCTGCCAATATAAATTGACATTTTTTCTGATTTGGTATAAGGCAATATCCTGTGGTCTAAAACTATAAGCTGTAACGTTTTGAAGTACTTTGTCCACATAATGAGGAGACAGGAAAGCTTAGAGAAGACAATTATGCTGGGGTAAATGGAAGGAAGAGGGGCTGACCAAGGGCAAGATCGGTGGATGGATGGTATCCTTGAAGTGACTGGCTTGACTCTGAAGGAGCTGGGGTTGATGACGGCCGATAGGGGGCTTTGGCGCGGGCTGGTCCATGAGGTCACGAAGAGTCGGAAGCAACTGAACGAATAAACAACAACAAAAGTTTTAAAATGTAACCATAAACAGACCTGCATGTATTTTGAATTAATTGACACAGGACTCAATTACTTCTGATTCATATTCCATATTTTACAGGAATCATATGATTCGGCAGATGATGATAAAAATATTTCGGTGTGTTGAGCCAGAATTAAATAATCTTATTGCTCTGGGAGACAAGATTGATAGCTTTAATTCCCTTTACATGCTCGTGAAAATGAGCCACCATGTATGGACAGCACAAAATGTGGATCCAACTTCCTTCCTCAGCACAACACTGGGAAATGTTTTGGTGACTGTCAAAAGGAATTTTGACAAGTGCATAGTAAGTATTCAATTGTTTGAATAATTCAGATCTGGAACAATCTGGATGTCACCCAGTCCCTCACTATCCTGTGTGTTGTAAACATCCAAAAACATGCAGCTTGTAGCCCTCAAGGACCAATTTCAGATGTCACAGTTTGTTGGGTTTTTTTTAATAAACAACAACCTCTGGAGGTCCCTTCAGGGAAACCTGGATCATTTAATGTTGAAAAAAGATCTCTCCGGGCCCTAAAAATGACCAAGGGATGACCAATAATGGAAGCAGATTGCCTCCTAGGGCGTATTTTAGGACATTTAGGATGCAAAAAAACATACAGGAGGAGATCCCCAACAGTTAACTACTTCTGATCTGAATGGTGTGTGTGTATGCCTGATAATACTGGCTTAGATCAAATCAGGAGGAGCTTGATAAGTCATTGATTCAGTGAATCTACTTGGTTGGATTAGATATGTCAAAGCCATCAAGGCATTGTTCTCATGAATGTAGTGGTGTCTTTGGTTGAAAAAAATAGACAACTATTTTTAGTCGACATACCTTTAGTTCTGTATTTAAAACTAACATGATGCCCCAGATTTGTTGCTGGCCCCCTGATTTGTTGCTGATCGGCTGCATCTTACCATTACCTCTTTTCATTTGCTTTAATCGTTTTAGAAAATCCAGTTGTAAATTTAAAACAACAAGTTAAGATCTGTCCTCTTTGCTTTTTCATTTTTAGAGCAACCAGATAAAACAGATGGAAGATGTAAAGATATCCAAGAAAAGTAAAGTTGGAATTCTTCCCTTTGTTGCGGAATTTGAAGAGTTTGCTGCACTAGCCGAGTCTATTTTCAAAAATGCTGAACGCAGAGGAGATCTAGATAAAGCCTATCTGAAACTTATTAGAGGAGTTTTCACTAATGGTAAGAGTCATGTTATGATAAAGCCAGAGGTCTTTTGTGTCACACAAATCAGTAACTTTGTTTATGAAATCCTACCGTCATATTTCTAAGAGTAAGACCCACTAATTGTTAGAAATTTTGAATTAACATCTCTAAGGCCCCTTCCACACATCTGTATAAAATCCACATTGAACTGGATTATATAACAGTGTGGACTCAGACAAACCAGTTCAAAGCAAATATTGCGGATTATCTGTCTTGATATTCTGGGTCTGTGGAAGGGCCCCAAGATTACAGGTTTCATAACTCTTAAAGCTCTTTCACGATGTCACAAAATTTTAAAAATGTTATGTTTCTAGTTTGAAAGTGTTATTCCTGTTTAATTGTACAGTACTTACTTTGAAAGTAGTTGTTATACTCTGGAAACTTCATTTTTTTGTGGCTGCCACAAACTATGTCAAGTTGGTTGTGACTTGATGAGATATTAATTTAAAAACTATAGCAAAATATGCTGCAGTTTTTGCAGTTTAATAAACTTTCCCCATGTTTTTATGATAGAACCAATTAGGAAATGACCTTTATAACCCAAGAACAAAAATTGTATTACATAATGTTTTAGTCTTGTATCTGCTAGCTGTTTATTTGAATTGTAGCTTTATTAGTAAATGGATGTGCATCACTTTGAATTAGCTCAGTGAGTCAGCAAATTATCTTTATTAATTTACATACTGACAGTTGCTTTCACATTTAGATCTGGAGTTGTGTAAATATTGTTATTTTGTTATGACAGTTACACAAGAAAAGAAGTTACAGTTCAGGTGAATTGGCCGAACTCAAGCAATTATATCTTAAACATTAATTTTGAGTGTGTACACTTATCAGTGGAGATTTATTTGTAGATTGAGTTATTTCAAAACAAATTACATGCTTATTACCTCCTGACTTGAAAACTAAATAATGTGTCTTTAAGAACTGTTTCTTTGAACGTTGGTGTAAATTCTTAGTCAACAAGCCTTCTGTGCATTTATTTTTTTAGTGGAGAAGGTAGCAAATGAAAGCCAAAAAACACCACGGGATGTGGTCATGATGGAGAATTTTCATCACATCTTTGCAACACTCTCTCGGTTGAAAATCTCATGCCTGGATGCTGAGAAAAAAGAAGCTAAGCAGAAATACACGGATCATCTGCAGTCATATGTAATCTATTCCTTGGGGCAGCCACTTGAAAAACTAAATGTAAGAAGTTTCTTTTCTTACGTTTAACTCTGAGATAAAACAAATAATAGACTTTTGTGGATAATTCCCCTTAAGGCAGGAGGACAAGCTATTTTTTCTTCTTCTACCATTAAAGATGGCATTTTAGAGCTTTTAGTGTATGTATACATGATGTGCAATTCTAACATGTATGAAAATATTTTGAAAACAGTGTGATAGAAAAGAGAAGATTAATTTGTAAATGTAGATTTGTTGTTTTTATTATTCTTTCAAGACTGGTGTATACAACTCTGTGCCACAAATAGGAGCTGTTTAGCTTCACACATAGCATCATGTAACAGAATTTAGGGGGGAAAATCTGTTTCTGGTTTGAAAGTCTTAATCCTGTTTAATTATGCGGTACTTACTTTAGAAGTAGTTGTTATACTCCGGAAACTTTGTTTTTGTGGTTGCCACAAACTATATTGAATTGGTTGAGACTCAATGAGATAGTCATTGAAAAACTCTAGCAAAATGTGCAGCAGAATGTCCTACAAAAACGGTTTTTTCTAGTTTAATGAACTTTTTCCACGTTTTTTGTAATAGAATCAATTAGAAAATAAGATTTATAACCCAGGAACAAAAATCATTGTACATAGCATAATCAGCTAGGTTTCCAGTTGTGTTCTTACTCACCACACTGAGGAAATACCATCTTAGTACTAGATATTTGTATATACTTTTCATGTTCACCTTAGTCAAGTGAGAGGCAGAAGGAGGAAGGCATGCAGAGACAATCAGCTAGCAAAAGCTATGGGTCTTTGCAAGGAATGGAAAATATATGGCTCTTGAGATGTTGAACTGCAACTCCTGTTGCCGCTTAATGTTGCATGGGCTGCCTAAAGTTGATGGAAATTATAAGTCAGCAATATCTGAAGGGCACACCTCCCCTCATTTAGTTCTCTTGTTCAGCCTTCAAGATAATGTTGATTATTATGTCAGGTGAATTACCTTTCTCATATCCTTTTGTATATGACTCAAACCACAGCAATAAAATGAAAGAAGTTTAGGTGTATGGAGTTCTTTGCAGCTAACGTAACAGTTTCTTCCAAAAGAGTGACCTATTTTTTTTTTACAATACTTATAAACTTGTTTATTAAGTGTATTAAGTAATTGTGTAACAGACCCACATAACCCTGCTCATAATTACGCTACAGATTATTTATTTATTTATCATGTAAGGAGTGAACCAAAACAGTTGTGCTGAATTAAAAAACAAACAAACAAACAAAACACAAAGTTTACAGACTTGGTATTCTATTAAATGTCCTTTGACCAGTATCTGGCCACTTGGGAGTGCCTCTAGTGTCACTGTGAGAAGGCCCTTCATTGTGCATGTGGCAGGGCTCAGGTTGCATTGCAGCAGGTGGTCCGTGGTTTGCTCTTCTCCACACTCGCATGTCGTGGATTCCACTTTGTAGCCCCATTTCTTAAGGTTGGCTCTGCATCTCGTGGTGTCAGAGCACAGTCTGTTCAGAGCCTTCCAAGTTACCCAGTTTTCTGTGTGCCCAGGAGGGAGTCTCTCATTTGGTATCAGCCATTGATTGAGGTTCTGGGTGTGAGCCTGCCACTTTTGGGCTCTCGCTTGCTGAGGTGTTCCAGCAAGTGTCTCTGTAGATCTTAGAAAACTATTTCTTGATTTAAGTTGTTGGCGTGCTGGCTGATACCCAAACGGGGTGTGCCAGAGATGTCACTGCCTTGGTCCTTTCACTATTGGTTGCTACTTCCCAGCGGATGTCAGGTGGTGCAATACCGGCTAAACAGTGTAATTTCTCCAGTGGTGTAGGGCGCAGACACCCAGTGATAATGCGGCATGACTCATTAAGAGCCACATCCACTGTGTTAGCGTGGTGAGATGTGTTCCACACTGGGCATGCATACTCAGCAGCAGAGTAGCATAGTGCAAGGGCAGATATCTTCACTGTATCTGGTTGTGATCCCCAGGTTGTGCCGGCTTTCGTATGTTATTGTTTCTAGCGCCCACTTTTTGCTTGATATTCAGGCAGTGCTTCTTGTGTCTGTGTTTTAGATGGATTAGAAATCAGCTGGTTTTCCCTGTAATAGGCAGTAAGAGCACCTAGAGCTTTGGAGAGATGATGATATGATAGTTATATATATAATAAACCTTCGCAAAATAGATGTCACACAGGTCGTTTCCACAAAAAGACTTTCTAGTGACTCTTGCACTGTCTTTCAATAGTGTCATAGTGTCATAGTGAATTTCAGGAAAGAAAAACACCCTGCTGCAAAACTTGGAGTCATTTTCCAGGGATTGGGTAGTCTCTTCACTGTCTGGGTGGGTTCTGGAGGGGTTGTTCATGTGATCTTCATACCTGCGGCACTCAAACTATTTGATGCCAGGCCAGTTACATAACTCCTATATGGTGCCCAATTAGGCCCCTTTTCTAACTTTACCTCATTGGAGAGTGTACAATTCAAATTCTTAAGATCGGCCCTCGAGGTACCAAGATACGTCTCCAACGCCACTCTACTTCTGGAGAATGGCTTCCTGAGAATTGACGCCAGGGTTTGGGTGGTTTATATTGAACTATTGGCTTAGACAATCCCAAGTAAGATAACATGGTCTGTATCAGTTTTGAAATCAAAAATGCTTTCCCAATAAGTTTTAACTCTAGGCTTGCTCTTCTGTGCATACGGGTGAATATCTTCTTTTTCATGAATTCAAATAATAAACTACAGTTATATCATTTCAGCACTTTTTTGAAGGTGTGGAAGCTCGTGTGGCACAAGGTGTGAGAGAAGAGGAAGTGAGCTACCAGTTGGCCTTCAATAAGCAAGAGCTGAGAAAAGTTATAAAGGAGTATCCTGGCAAGGAAGTGAAAAAGGGGTTGGATAACCTTTACAGAAAGGTGGACAAACACCTCTGTGAAGAAGAAAACCTACTTCAGGTAATGTAATAGATTCAGGCTATGATTTAAGGAGGTACCATATATGATTAACCTTTCTAATATAGTGTAATTGTTTTTATGTTGTCCTTGGCCTCTCTCTTTAGAACAGTGGTTCTCAACCTTCCTAATGCCATGACCCCTTAATACAGTTCTTCATGTTGTGGTGACCCCCCCCCCCCCCGACCATCAAATTATTTTCGTTGCTACTGTTGATACTATTATGAATGCTATTGAAAATATCTGATATGCAGGATGTCTTTTCATTCACTGGACCAAATTTGGCACAAATACCCAATATGCCCAAATTTGAATACTGGTAGGGTTAGGGGGGGATTTTGTCATTTGAGAGTTGTAATTGTTGTGATTTATAGTTAACCTACAATCAAAAAGCATTCTGAACACTGCCAACGACAGAATTGAACCAAACTTGGCACACAGAACTCCCATGACCAACAGAAAATACTGGCAGGGTTTGGTGGGCATTGATCTTGAGTTTTGGAGATTTAGTTCACCTAGATGTAGTTTACCTAACTGTAGTTCACCAAGTTTGGTCCTGATAATGGATCAGGACCAAACTTGGCACAGATACTCAATATGCTGAAATGTGAACACTGGTGGAGTTTGGGGAAAATTGTAGTTGCTGGGATTTATAGTTCACCTACAATCAAAGAGCATTCTGAACCCCACCAACGATAGAATTGGGCCAAACTTCCCACACAGAATCCCCATGACCAACAGAAAAATACTGTGTTTTCTGGTGGTCTTTGGCGGCCCCTCTGACACCCCTCATGACCCTCCCAAGGGTCCCGACCCCCAGGTTGAGAAACTCTGCTTTAGAGTGATACATGGAATGTGTGGCGATGTCTGGCACGGCAGTAGGAATAACTGTGGGGACAGTAGAATCTCAATTTCTAACAACTGTTAGGTAAACACAGGAAAATGTCGATTCTTCATCTACAGACTCTTGCAGTGGTAGTGTTGTTGTTCTTTTTTGTGCTAGTGGCAATGAAATGAGTGAGATGGAAAGTGATGTTGACAGCCAATTCAGAGGAAGTCTGACTAAACAGGGACTAGAATTATTTGAAAGCCTGCTTTGTGGCACCAAACATAAGGAATCAGGAATGCATTGCTATCAAAGGCATGATTGATAGATATAAGATAGGGCCTTCTCAGTGGCTTTCTTTGATTGATAATCTGGAACTCCCTTCCTAAAGAAGTTAGAATGGTCTGCTACTTGCTGGACTTTTGCCTGCTGTAAAATACTTATTTATTCTGACAGGTTTTTGAGAACTGCAGGTTTTTACAAAAGGGGTTTGTTTGTTTTTTTTAAAAAAGGAAGTTATAGTGTGTTATTGGTATTGCTTTTTAAAACTGCTTTTGACATTTGTAATCGTACATTTTAAATTAAATTAAATTAGCTACTGTATATCTTCAATTCTAAGTCCATTTCCTCGGTATAAACATCTCTAAAAAGGGGGTGCCATCTTAGAATCATGGGAGTTTTTAATATGTATAAAGAAAGCTTTTTTTCTATTGGTGGTACTGAAATTAGTGTGCATTTCACAATCAATACCATCTCAAAATTAAAGAATTGTGGTATATCATAATTTGTAGGCTGCCTTGAGACCTGATTTTGGGAGGAAACTCAGACTATAAATAAAATAACAACAACAACAATGTATCAACCTAGGTACTTTGAATGTGTAATAGAAGCGGGACAAGACAACATTAAAATTTTTATGCATGCTATTAATTTTACAGGCCACAGGGAAAACACATTAGTCAAGTTAAGTAAAGGTAAAGGTTTCCCCTTGACATTAAGTCTAGTCGTGTCCAACTCTGGGGGGTGATGCTCATCTCCATTTCTAAGCCAAAGAGCCAGCGCTGTCCATTGACACCTCCTAGGTCATGTGGCTAGCAAGACTGCATGGAGTGTCATTACCTTCCCGTAGAAGCGGTACCTATTGATTTACTGACATTTGCATGTTTTTGAACTGCTAGGTTGACAGAAGCTGGGGCTAACAGCAGGAGCTCCCCTGCTGCCCCAGATTCGAACTGCCAACCTTTCAGTCAACAAGTTCAGCAGCTCAGCGGTTTAACCCACTGCACCACTGGAGGGCCTAGTCAGGCTGGCTGCATATAATTGCTGTATATAGTTACTGCTTGGTGCAAACTCCTATGACTAATCATTGCAAACATTGCATAAAACTTTCCTTTCCTAGAAAACTAGAATAGTAAGGAAAAACATGGTAGACTACTATCCCTCATATGCTAGCATTTAATGGACATGGCTGTGTGTGTGTGTACATGTGCACATACATATATGGAAATATTCAGTTGTAAAGTCTAAATAGAGGTTCACAACTCATTGAGAACTAGGTCTGTGGTTCAGGTAATGTCTTATGGAATTAAGTGTTATATAAAGTTGCACATACACATTAAGTGGGCCTCTGGTATTTACTGTGGTTTGGTTCCAGGACCCCCATAGATACCACAATCCATGGATGCCTGTTATATACGATTGTGTAGTAAAATGGTATCCCTTATATAAAATGGCAAAATCAAATTTTGAATTTTTGATTGATTTTTTTTTTGAGGGGAGGGAATATTTTCAATCTGTAGATATAGAATCCATAGATACAGAGGGCTAACTATATTTACAACACTGCTATCCATTAGTAGGACAGGCCTGGAGGTTTGAAGTGGAACCTCTGCCAGTATTTTCATTATTAAAACTCCACTTTCTTCTGTTTGTCAGGTGGTGTGGCACTCAATGCAAGATGAGTTCATTCGGCAATACAAGCACTTTGAAGGCTTAATAGCACGTTGCTACCCTGGATCTGGAATTACTATGGAGTTCACTATCCAAGACATTTTGGACTACTTCTCCAGCATTGCACAGTCTCACTAATATCTGCCAAGCAAGATAAGCTGGCAAGCTTTCTGAGAAGAATGTTTGACACTGGAGATATTGTTGCTTTGAGAGTTGGCATTATAAAGGGGTATCTGTAACTGTGCTCATCCTAGCAACCAGTGGCCTAAGCCAAAATGCTACTTAATTACTGGATTTTTAAAAAGTGTTAAATTGTACATTTTCATATGTAGTACAGTCTTGGTAGTTTTACTTTCCACAGGATATTATTAGTTCTGTATATTCCTGGAGTACCACACACTGTATGCTTCCCTATTCAACTGTAGTTCCTAGAAAATATGCAATTTTAAAGTTGTTGTAAACAGCTAGAGGAGAACTATTGTATCAAAGCATGTTAATATATTGATGGTTAGGATAGCCAAGATTATGCTCTTCAGAATTACTTTACATGACCGTTGTTGTAATTCTTCTGAAGTAAAAGAAGTTACATACATAACCTGTGGAAGATTATTAGTTGTGCTTGAGCAGTTCACAAAAGAAAATCGACAGCTGTTTATCCAGTGAGTCATCCAAAGATTGTATTCATACTTTTCTCTTACTAGTAATAGAAGGATGCTATTGAAAGCTTCCTTTGAAAACACTGAAATAACTTATGGGGATAAAAAGCAATAAAATGCTACAATTCATGGAGCGCAGTTGCCTTCCTGCTGAAGCATTACCTATTGATCTACTCATACATATTTGCATGTTTTTGAACTGCTAGGTTGGCAGGAGCTGGGATTAACAGCGGGAGCTCACCCTGCTCCCGGATTCGAACCTGCAACCTTTTGGTTAAGCAAGTTCAGCAGCTCAGCAGTTTAACCCACTGCACCACTGGAGGCTCCATAATGGAAGTTATAAGTAGTATTTTATATAAAAGGCTCAAGATTTTTTTGTCCATGATCTAAGCTTAGCCAGTGAAGCCAGTAAAATAACACCTTGGACCCTCTCTACACTAAGACCCCTTCTACACTGCCATATAAAATCCAGATAATCCGCTTTGAACTGAATTATATAGCATTGTAGACTCATATAATCCAGTTCAAAGCAGATAATGTGGATTACCTACTTTGATAATCTGGAAGTGTAGAATGGATCTTAGACAAAATTTTGTTGAATTGGTTGAGAGACTATGAGATACTCATTGAAAAACTATAGCAAAATATGCTGTAGGTTGTCCCGCAAAAACAAAGCTTTTGCAGTTTAATCAACTTTCCCCATGTTTTTATGATAGAGCCAATTATAAAATGACATTTCTAACCCAGGAACAAAAATCGTGTTACTTAATGTAATCACAGGCACTGTGTCTCAGGATCAGAGCACCTCAGTTCAGGAAGAATTAAAACATTTAATTGGTTACAGTTGGTTTCCTCCGCCTACATATCTGCCTTTCCAGAGTGTTTCCGATGCCACTTTCTCAAGCTGTTCTTACATTTAAATTCTGTGTATGAAGACAATATGATCAAACATGGCTCATAAGGTTTAGTAGTCACCAAACAGCGTTTGTGCCCTAGGGACAGCAAACGAGAACCACTCCACGTTTTAAGTCAAATGAGTTTGGTACAGTGTATTCTAACATTGTCATATAGCAAATGAAAGTACGGTCTTATTGCACTTTTAATCCTTTTCTACAAAAATGCTCAAGGCAACTAATACACGGTAAAATGATTAGACTCAATCATAATCACTGAACATCAAAAAGGGGAGCGGTTGAGCATTATGCAACCTTCCAGATGTGTTGGAGCGGAAATATCAGTTGCCTTAGCCAGAGTTCACTAGCTTCTGGAGGCCACATGTTGATCATTTTTGTCTGTTTTGTTTTAAAGAAGAGGACAAATTGAACTGGGCTCGCAAACAGCTGGTGAACCTTGAAAGTCTTTCGGTTGCAAAATAATAACAAACTTGTATAGTAAGACACAACTTATGGCCCTTCCACACAGCCATATAACCCAGAATATTAAGGCAGATAATCCACAATATCTGCTTTGAACTGGGTTATCTGAGTACACACTGTCATATAATCCAGTTCAATGTGGATTTTATACAGCTGTGTGAAAGGGGCCTTAGCTGTTCCATTTTACAACAAATGAAGCTGATTGCTAATTAGATAGGGGCTGAAAGAGTCCAGATGACATCAGGTCTTGAAAGCTAAGCAGGCTCAATCCTGGTTAGCCGATGGATGGGATACTGCCAATGGATACCAAATGCTGGAGGCTATATTCCAGAAGTATGGAAGTGGCAAAACCACCTCTGAAGATTCCTTGCCAATGGGCCCTTCCACACAGCCATATAACACATCATATCAAGGCAAATAATCTTCAATATCTGCTTTGAACTGGGGGCCCTTCCACACAGCTGAATAAAATCCTAAGGAATACATGATGTTGTAATAAGGCATCCACGGGCCCTTCCACGCAGCCATATAACACTGAATATCAAGGCAGTTAATCCATAATATCTGCTTTGAACTGGGTTATTGTAATAAGAAATTCAATTTGCAGATTTGATAAATGTGAATTTAATATATGTGTGGGAATGAATGGAAGGATGGAAGGATGTATGGATGGAGTTAATAATTGGGAACACCCGTATAATATTAAGGCCTGCAATGACTAACTACCTGCTTGCTGGACTGTAATTAAAAGTTGCTAATAAGATCTGAAAAAGTAAACTCTGATAAGTACTGGGACAGTGATAACAGAAATGTTTACAATGTTAAGAAGGAAGTCAACATAAAATCAACACCAATCAAGAAGAATCAACATCTGGCCAGGAAACTGAGATGGAACCAGGATGGAAGATGTCTATCATTAATTTACAACTTTGGGACTACATTAGCAGAATATTCCCATAAAAGACTCAATCTAATAATTCTCAAATTGTGACAGATCTGAGGAGTCTGGTTCACCCGCTATGCTCTGCTCCATGAGAAGGAGAGATATAGTGTACTATGGAGTGGCAGATTTGCACACGAGCAGTCTGGTCACTTTGGGGTTTCTTTCTCAAGGGAAGAGGAAGAAGTGCCCTTTTGGAGTCTTAGGTTTTGTGTGTGGAATCAGGTTCTGCTGTATGGAAAACAGAGATCTGGTCCTTGGCACTGTGCTTAGGGAGAAGATGCATTTTGAAGTTTTGAAAGTTTTGGAACTATGTGTTGGCAGGCTGCAGGAAAGCAGGGTCTGGCCTAACTGGTGTTTCTTGGTACAGTAATATTTGGATGTATGACGATGAATGCATGCACATGTGTAGGCACGTAGCCAGGATTTTGTTTGGGGGGGGGCTGATTTTGTTGGGGGGGCTGAGTCTGAGTGAAAGAGGGTCTACCCTAGCAAACCTTTTGTATCGTTACCCAATACCCCCATGCATATGGGATATATTGAGCATGGTGATCAGATCATGATATGAATAAACATAACAGTTTAAATAATGTACCAGTAAGACCACCATCAGAATTTGGGGGGGGGGGGGCTGAAGCCCCCCAAGCCCCCCCCCCCCCCGGCTACATGCCTGCACATGTGTGTGAATGGTGACTGAAAATGTAATTCACCTTTGTCTGTTAACCAGTGTAATTGTGAATCCAATGTAGTTGCATAGAATCTATATGCCTATGTCGAAATGATTTTCTGTAATCTGATATACCCTCTCACACTGGAAATTGCAACAAAAACAACCTATGCTTTAAAGTTATTGAAAAGTAATTCATGAGATTATCTGAGTCCACACTGCCATATAATCCAGTTCAATGTGGATTGTATACAGCTGCGTGGAAGGTGCCTCCCAAACTCTGCTCCATCCAGTATTTTGGAGTTCTGCCCCCAGAATCTGATTATTGGGGGAAGCTGCTGCGAATTTAAGTCCACAACATCTGGAGGAACAGGGTGCCCATTAGGTTCTTGTAGGTTTTTTCGGGCTATAGGGCCATGTTCTAGAGGCATTTCTCCTGACGTTTCGCCTGCATCTATGGCAAGCATCCTCAGAGGTAGTGAGGTCTGTTGAAAATAGGATAATGGGTTTATATATCTGTGGAGGGCCAAGAGCTCTTCTCTGCTGAGCTAGGTGTGAATGTTTCAACTGACCACCTTCATTAGCATTTGAAGGCCTGGCTGAGCCTGGGAAAATCTTTGTTGAGAGGTGTTAAGATGTGCCTGGTTGTTTCCTCTCTGCTGTTTTGCTGTTGTAATTTTAGAGTTTTTTAATACTGGTAGCCAGATTTTGTTCATTTTCATGGTCTCTTCCTTTCTGTTGAAATTGTCCACATGCTTGTGGATTTCAATGGCTTCTCTGTGTAGTCTGACATGGTGGTTGTTGGAGTGGTCCAGCATTTCTGTGTTCTCAAATAATATGCTGTGTCCAGGCTGGTTCATCAGGTGCCCATTCATTCCCATTCACTTGCTGCAGTAGACCAATCCGGAAGCGCGAGCTGTCCTACAACAGGCCTGATTGGCTCTTACGGCCTGGAGGGGCGGGATTAGTAAAGGAGATCGACAACTGCAGTTGCGTGTGCGTCATTCTCCCTGATGCCCGCCAGGGGCCGCTGTGGGGCGGCGGGCGAGGCGCGCGACGCTTGCGACGGTTGCCGGGGCGACCTTGGGGCGGAAGTTGCCGACGCTCCGCGCGCCATTTTCAAACGGCTTGCTAGGCCCGTCCGCTCTTTGTTTCGGCGGAGGGAGAGGGAGGCAGCACCCGGTGGTGTGGAGTAGATGGCCTCCCGGAGCTGGTGAGTGGGAAAAGATTCGGTGGGGCTGTCAGCGTGCCCGGCCTGAAAGAGAGCGCGGCCGAGATTGGAGGCCGCGAAGGCCCGTTTCCATGGCGACGCGGATGACGAGAGGGCGGTGACGTCACTTGGAGTGGGAGCCCCTCTTCGAAAGGCCCCCAGGCTGCGGCCAGAGCGCGCTGAGGTGGAGGGCCTTCCCTTGAGGCTTCACCGCTTCCTATCCTTACTAATCCCCGCCAGGAAATCCCTGTAGCCTTTCAGCCAGGGCAGACAACAGCTTTACAGGAACTTGGTTTCTTTTCTCCCTCCCTTCAGTGTCGAAAGGAATGTTATTGTGTGCTTTCAAGTGGTTTCCTACTTATGGCAACCTTATCATGGAGTTTCCCAGGCAGAATTTCTTCAGAAGAGGCTTGCACTTCCCTTCCTCTGAGGCCCCACTCACACAGCTGAAAATAACCCCACATTATCTGATTTATTTATTTATTTGCGACATTTATATTTATTTATTTCTTTATTTATTTGGGGTTCTTTTACCCCGCCTTCTCACCCCGAAGGGGACTCAGGGCGGCTTACAAAAGCAAAGGCACAATTTGATGCCTGCATCATAAAACAATCATACACAAAATTACATCAATTCACAGTTGACAACAATTCATGCATTATAACCATAAAATCAATGAAATCAATAAAAACCAAATACAAACCCAATTTCTCCTCTTACATGGTCAGCGTTCGCTACTCATAGATCTAGTTTTACGTTCCACTTCATCAATCCTGCTGGTCTTACTCGCCTGGTTGTCTGATTTAATTGCCGGAGTGCCCAAAGGCCTGGTCCCATAACCAAGTCTTCACCCTTCTCCTAAAGGCGAGGAGGGATGATGATGCCCTGATTTCCCCCGGGAGTGAGTTCCACAGGTGAGGGGCCACCACTGAGAAAGCCCTGCTCCTCGTCCCCACCAGCCTCACTTGTGACAGTGGTGGGGTCGAGAGCAGGGCCTCCCCAGATGATCTCAAACTCCGGGGTGGGACGTAGAGGGAGATACGTTCGGACAAATACACTGGACCGGAACCGTACAGGGTTTTGTAGGTCAAAACCAGCCGCCCTTCTCACCCCGAAGGGGACTCAGAGTGGCTTACAAGTAAAAAGTAAATACAATATATTATATTGTTATCATAAGGTAGGTAAAGGTAGTCCCCTGACATTAAGTCCAGTCATGTCTGACTCTGGGGTGTGGTGCTCATCTCCATTTCTAAGCCGAAGAGCCGGCGTTGTCCGTAGACACCTCCAAGGTCATGTGGCTGGCATGACTTCATGGAGTGCCGTAACCTTCCCGCCGGAGCGATACCTACTGATCTATTCACATTTGTATGTTTTTGAACTGCTAGGTGGATAGAAACTGGGGCTGGCAGCAGGAGCTCACGCCGCTTCTCAGATTTGAGCCTGCGACCTTTGGTCAACAAGCTCCCCGGAAGCTCACACCGCTCCCCGGAATCGAACCTGCGACCTTTTGATCAACAAGCTCAGCAGCTCAGTGCTTTAACCCACTGCGCCACCGGGGGCTCCTATTAGCATAGTACAGTGTTTCTCAACCTGCGGGTCAGGACCCCTGAGGGTATCGCGAGGGGGTGTCAGAGGGGTCGCCAAAGACCATAAGAAAACACAGTATTTTCTGATGGTCATGGGGATTCCATGTGGGAAGTTTGAGCCAATTCTATGGTTGGTGGAGTTCAGAATGTTCTTTGATTGTAATGAACTATAAATCCCAGCAACTACAACTCCCAAATGTCAAGATCTATTTTCCCCAGACTCCACCAGTGTTCACATTTGGGCATATTGAGTATTCGTGCCAAGTTTGGTCCAGATCCACCATTGCATGAGTCCACAGTGCTCTCTGGATATAGGTGAACTACAACTCCCAAACTCAAGGTCAATGCCCATCCAATGTTTTCCATTGGTCATGGGAGCCAAGTTTGGTTTAAATCCATCACTGGTGGAGTTCGGAATGCTCTTTGATGATAAGTGAACTGTAAATCCTAGCAACTACAACTCCCAAATTACAAAATCAATCCTCGCCCAACCCCACTAGCATTCACATTTGGGTGTATTGGGTATTTGTGCCCAGTTTGGTCCAGTGAATGAAAATGCATCCTGCATATCAGATATTTACATTATGATTTATAACAGTAGTAAAATGACTATTATGAAGTAGCAATGAAAACAATATTATGGTTGGGGGTCACCACCACATGAGGAACTGTATTAAGGGGTCACGCCATTAGGAAGGTTGAGAACCACTGGCATAGTACAATATCAGTATTATGGTGGCGCAATGGGTTAAACCCCTGTGCCGGCAGGACTGAAGACTGATAGGTCACAGATTCGAATCCAGGGAGAGGCGGATGAGCTCCCTCTATCAGCTCCAGCTCCTCATGCAGGGACATGAGAGAAGCCTCCCACAATGATGATAAAAACATCAAAAATCATCTCGGCGTCCCCTGGGCAACGTCCTTGCAGACGGCCAATTCTCTCACACCAGAAGCCCTGAGAGAGTGTGATTTACCAAAGTCACCCAGTGGGTTCCCATAGCCAAGTAGGCGTTTGAAGTCTGGCCAGCAGAGTTGGGAGAGGCCACATGGCCATCTAGTCCAATCCCTTGCTATGCAGGAAAAGCACAATCAGTGTCCCTGACAGATGGCCATCCAGCCTCTGTTTTAAAAGCCTCCAATGAAGGAGCTTTCATCACACTCTGATGTAGAGAGTTCCACAGCTGAACAGTTCTTACAGTCAAGAAGGGAAGCGAATTCAAAAGGGTCATACTTCAAACACTAATAAGGAAGTACCAGAAGCATGATCTAAAAGGGGTGGTGGCATCAATGCAAGGAAATATCTCCATAAAACTGGAAGACATGTCATATTGATCTATACCTTATCTTAAATGAGTGTCCCTACTCAGCCCTCATGCTCATGTAATGTGCACATTTTTCAAATTACTTGCAGATTCTGATTGTTAACCCCAAATATCTCTGCTACAAATATCTTCACAATGACTACGGCTGCAGAAAGAAAGTTTGTTAATCTCAGGAAGCGTTTGGATCAGCTGGGATATCGACAGCCTCTGGGAATAGAAAGCCTCCCATTGGTGGAAAAGCTTTTCAGGTATTAAAACAAAATGATATAATAAAAAGTACGTGGGATGTATTGGTATTATAGAATTAATGCAGTTTACACCACTGTAATTGTCATAACTCAGTGCTGTGGACTGATGAAAGTGGTAGTATGGCAAGGCACCAGAACTTTTGGCAAACAGAGCCAAAGATCTTGTAAAAATATTACAATTTCCATGGCCGTTAAAGGTGTCAAACTGCATAGTCACTTGCATAAATGAAAGTACTCACCAGAGCAGAACAATTCCTTGGTATCTGCATACTGCATTTCTGAATACAGGCATTTTGCATTTGGGTTTTGGTCCAAGCTCAGCAAGATGTCAGATCCTCTTCCTTTCCTATCCATGACAAGTAAAAAAATTCTTCCTAGGCTGTTTCATCTTCCTAACAAGCTAGATGTCGATTCATCCAGACTAATTATAAAGACCAGAAAGTCGCAGATTTTGTTCCAGTAATTTCTGGTTTTATTTTGGAGATTGTACATGTTTTGTTCATCTCAGAATGTTTTCTATCCGCTCCCATTATGATCAATGACTTTTTTATACCATCTCTCCAGGACGGTTTATTTTAATTCAGTATAAAATCGAAAGAACAGGAGCAATATTAGGACTTTTCAACCAGTTTGAATGTGCTTTGAGATACAGCAGTTGTCTCACTTTTATTCTTTAACAATACATAGAGGACTTGAGAAAGCAGAGAGCTTGGTACCAACTGTCAATTATGATGAAGTAGTATGCCAACCCACATTCTGTGGACATCTGTTCTGGGTGGTGTAGCTAAAAAGGGCATTTCTAGGAAATGGTTGCTTTTGCTGTTATAACGTACATTGCTGAAATTTGTCAGTTTATTGTTCATTTGGTTTCAGTGATCTTCTTCACACAACCGAGAGTCTCCGGAGTACAAAGCTATCAGCTGGAAAAATTGAAAAAGAGTACAGCAACTTTGATGTTGTTTTGGAACCTTATCGAGAAGAAAATGCTAGGCTCACTCGTGAAAATAATGAATTACATTTAGAAGTGTTGAAACTGAAAGAGCAATTGGATCAACGAGTCAAAGGTAAGATGAAAGTTTATAGTTTCTTTGGGGGCCACATATTTTAACTGGCAACATTTGTAGTTGTCTCCACAAGTTATAGAATATAGGCCTTCAGAGCCCAATAGAAACACAGGAGTGCCCCCCCCCCACTTTGTTGCCTTCCAATATCAAAAGAATGGCAGGAGGCAGCATTTCACTTTGCTGCGCTTCAGAGTCATTTACTATTGGGAAGTGAATATCCAGGCTCAGTGCTTTACACATGTGTGTCAAAAATATAAAGTGGATTGTTAATGGGTTGCTGTGAGTTTTCCGGCCTGTATGGCCATGTTCCAGAAGCATTCTCTCCTGACGTTTCACCCACATCTATGGCAGGCATCTTTAGATGTTTGTCGGAAGCAAGGCAAGTAAGGTTTATATGTCTGGAATATCCAGGGTGAGAGAAAGAACTTTCTGTTTGAGGAGAGTGTGAATGTTGTAATTGATCACTTTGATTAGCATTGAATAGCCTGCAGCTCCAAGGCTTGGTTGCTTCCTGCCTGGGGGATCCTTTGTTGGGAGGTGTTAGCTGGCCCAGATTGTTTCTTTTTTATTATTTTTTTCATGTTATTTTGAGTGTTGTTCATTCTGTCCTGATTTTAGAGTTTTTTTAAAACTGGTAGTCAGATTTTGTTCATTTTCATGGTTTCCTCCTTTTTATTGAAATTCTCCACATACTTCTGGACTTCAGTGGTTTCCCTGTGTAGTCTGACATAGTCGTTTGAGTGTTCCAGTAAGGTTTTGTACTGGGAGTTGCAGATTGTATATGATTGCCCTTGCAGACAAAAATGACATTGTTTGAAGAGGTCCTTGTGTATAGCATGGTGTAATTAAGAGAGAAGTAAAGTACACTCTGGAATGTTATTGTTCTCCCCCCCTCCCCCCACCCCTTTGAAGATTTGAAAGCTACACTGAGGAGAGTGGACCATGAGAATGCAGATATGAAATTTCTGAATAATCAGTATGTACATAAAATTCGATCATTGGAGAAGGAAAACAAAGCCAAGACTGACAAGATCCAACAGCTCCAAGAAAAAAATCTCCAAGCAGTAGTTCAGACACCAGGTCCAGTACCAAATTACGAGCACATTATTTCATTCTGCTTGTTGTGATGTAATTTTACACCTAATTAGTGGTGCATAAATATGTGATTTTAATAGGACTTGATCCTGTTTGGCCCTTGTCCTCACATACTGATACTAGGATACTGGTGCTAATGTACAGATGCGAGAAATCTAAGGTAATATAGTGTGCTTCTTTTTCATAAGCTGTACATGGCCCATCTGCAATAATATAAAAAAAATCAGTCTTTATAACATTTGCCATTTGGGCTTAAGTAATGTTTCTGTTCCTAGTTTGAAAGTGTTATTTCCTGTTTAATTGTGTAGCACTTTGAAAGTAGTTGTTATACTCCAGAAACTTTGTTTTTTTGGCTGCCACAAACAATGTTGAAGTGGTTGAGATTCTATGAGAGTCTATATTGATTGAAAAATTAGAGCGAAATGTACTGCAGAATGTCCTGTAAAAACAAAGTTTTTGTAGTTTAATAAACCTTTGCCATGCCTTATGACAGAACCACTTAGGAAATGACATTTATAAGCCAGGAACAAAAAATGTGTTCCATAGTGTTATTCAATCAGTATGCTGCAAGTTGCTTCTGGAGTGAGAGAATCAGCCGCCTACAAAGACGTAGACAGGGATGCCTGGATGTGTTGCGGGGAGGCTTCTCTCATGTCCCCCATATAGCAACACCAGAGGCACTCCAAATGGCCAGCTACTGGTCAAAGGACATTTTATAGAATGCCAAGTTTTTAGACTTTGTGTTTCCTCAAATATGTCACAATTTTACTATTGGTTTGCTCCTGACACAATAAATTCAATCAGCAAATTAAAATTATTCAAAATTCTTTGCCATTTCATTCAGTGGGATTTTTTCTCTAATGTATGTATATGTGTGAGTATTCTATCAGAATTTGAACTGTTTTTCTTTTTTAGGAGGTAGGAAAAGAAATATTCCATTTAGGCGTCAACGTATGCAGATAGATCAACCAGCACCTCCTTCTGGAATTGGTGCTTATCCTGTTCCACAACCCGATGATCCATACATAGCAGACCTTCTTCAAGTGGCTGACAACAGGTAATTGATATGTCTCCTAAAATGTGGCAATACTAATAGTACTTTATTTATTTATTTATTTATTTATCATGTCAGAAGCAAGTTGAACGTACAGTTATATATATAATATATTTTAAAATACAAAAAATGTTAAAAACTTGACTTAATGCTAAATGTCCTTTAACCAGAAGCTGGCCACTTGGAGTGCCTCTGGTGTCGCTGTGAAAAGGTCCTCCATTGTGCATGTGGCAGGGCTCAAGTTGCATTGTAGTAGGTGGTCTGTGGTTTCCTATTCTCCACACTCGCATGTCGTGGACTCTACTTTGTAGCCCCATTGTTTAAGGTTGGCTCTGCATCTCGTGGTGCCAGAGCGCAGTCTGTTCAGTGCCTTCCAAGTCACCCAGTTTTCTGTGTGCCCAGGAGGGAGCGTTTAATTTGGTATCAGCCACTGTTTGAGGTTCCGGGTTTTCACCTGCCCCTTTTGGATTCTCGCTTTTTGAGATGTATCCTGTTCGGATATCAGGCTTGCTGACTGCTATCCGAACAGAGGGTGAGCCGTTGATGTCAATGCCTTGGTCCTTTCATTACATGCTGCTTCATCCCAGCGGATAACAGGTGGTGCAATACCGGCTAAACAGTAGAATTTCTCCGGCGGTGTTAGGAATAGACATCCCATGATAATGCAACATGTCTCATTAAGAGCCATATCCACTGTTTTAACGTGGTGAGATGTATTCCACACTGGGCATTTGTACTCAGCAGCAGAGTAGCAAAGCGTCACTGTGTCTGATTGTGAGCCCCAGGTTGCGCCAGTCAGCTTTCTTACAATGTTATTTCTAGCACCCACTTTTTGCTTGATATTCAAGCAGTGCTTCTTGTTAGTCAGAGCACGGTGCAGGGTAACTCCGGAGTATTTTGGTGTGCTGCAATGCTCCAGTGGGATTCCTTCCCAGGTAATCTTCAGAATTTGAGATTCTTGTCTGCTCTTATGATGAAAAGCACACGTCTGTGTTTTAGATGAATTAGGAATCAATTGGTTTCCCTGTAATAGGCAGTAAGAGCACCTAAAGCTTTGGAGAGCTTCTGTTCAACCATTTCAGAGCTCCCTGCTTGAGCGGTAATGGCACGATCATCAGCATAGATGAAATTCTCTGTCCCTTCTGGCATTGGCTTGTCGTTTGTGTAAATGTTAAACATTGATGGAGCAAGCACATTCCCCTGAGGCAGGCTGTTCTTCTGTTTTTGCCATCTGGCCCTGGAACTCAACAAAAAAGCTCCTATTTTGTAGCAGATTTACTATGAAGCAGATAAGGTGGTAGTCCTTTGTGAAATTATATATATTTTTAAGAAATTGAAACCATAAACCATCAGATTTGGTTGTGTTAATATTTTAAGGGGCATTGTTTTTAATGTATTTTAATGTATTTTTACTGTTGTTGACCTGTTTATGTTAATTACTGTGCTGTAATGATTGCCAATTGTAAGGTGCTCTGAGTCCCCCTTTGGGCGTTGAGAAGGATGGGATATAAATGTTTGAAATAAACAAACAAATAAACAAACAAATAAGTGTTTCTGCACAACAGAGTAAGGAACTAGCACCCATAAAACATCCCAGATAGAACTTAATAATTTTTTTTATCAAAATGATGACTGAACCATATTTCTTTAAATCATAAGTGGACAGTGTTTTTGGGCTCTAAATCCCACTAACCCTCTCTATAAAGGGATTACAGTTCAAAAACATGGCAAGGAGCACACCTGCCCACTTTTACTCTAAATGTATGAAAATAATTGACTGCTTTGTGACCTATCTTGAGTGAGGAAGGAAAGAAGATGAAACAGATAATGTGAAGACTGTCTTGGGGAATACATTTTCTTGAATAAAGAATTCTTGAATGAAATTATGTTCCAATAAATATTTCAGAATTCATGAGCTACAGTTGGAAGTTGCTGACCTGCATGAAAAAGTAGAGATTGCTGAACGTGGAATGAAAAATTACAGCAAGCAGGTAAGTTAAGTTTCAGGGTTTTGTTTTTTTTTATCTATAAAATGCAGTATATCCTATAGTTTTTCTTGAATTATTGAAGGCGTGTATCAAAGAAAACTCAGGATTTTGTGTTTATGTTGGAAAAAGGCAATACGGATTTGGTCTACCATACTTCAAGTATCAAAGGGTTGCAAGATTTGGTGTAATTACCGTATATACCCGAGTATAAGCTGAGCTTTTCAGCCCTTTTTTTAGGCTGAAAAAGCCCTCTTGGCTTATGTGCGAGTCAAAGTTATTTATTATTTTACTGAGTTATTATTATTATTATTATTATTATTATTATTATTACATTTATTATTTTAATATGCAGTATGTATTATTACAGTTACATTACTTTATTAATATTTTATTACATTTATTATTGTACAGAAGTTGATTATAAATTGTATGATTTTAACTATTTGTGTTTAGATTGGCTGCACTAATGCTGGAGCGGCCTAACTGAAAGGAGTGCGTTGCCATGGAGATGATGTAGGCTAGAGAGAGAAGTGGGAGGAGCTTAGAGGGGAGAGTTTGAAAAACGACAGTTAAAAATCAGTTAGGTTTTAGGTTCCGAGGAGTGAGGAGTTAGGGTTTAGGTTCAGAGGAGTTGGTAGAGGAAAGGATTAGGAGGTTGTAGCTGAAAGAGAGTAAATTTTGAAGCAAAGTTTCGAGGCTTTGGAAAGCCAGATTAAGCTACTGGAAGTTTCTTAGCCTAGAGAGGCTGATAAGGGAAACGAAGCCAGTATTCCTTTAGTCTAAGGAAAGGCTAAAGAATAATCTTATTAAGTATCGGATCAAGGGAGGATCAGATAAGGGAGACATCCCTGTATTGAAACTTTGTTTTGTAATAAGTGCTTCACCTCAGGAAGATACTGTGTAACCTGAAAGAGTGTAACATTCAACTAACCAAGCATTGTTCTAAGTTCTATAACAAAAGTTACGTCTTGCAACCACACGCTGTGTACTTAATAAAATTGTTAACTTTTATTTGAAGATTGCCTCAGCTCCGTCTATCCTGTGTACCAAGTGCCATTTCACACAATATTATAACTTACCTCACGTGGTGGCAGAAACGCAGGGGAAAGTGACCAAATAGATATACATTCTTATCTCCAGTCACGCTACAATACATACCGTTTAATTACTACTAAGTTATTACTATCTTAATAAAAGAAGAGGTGCGATTGAACAGCCTCCCTTCTAACTTGATGGTAAATTTGGTTCCTTTCAAATTGGTAACAACAATAATCGTCCCTAGGCTCCCCTGCTCCTGCGCAATTATTTTAGTCTATTTATTATTATTATTATTATTATTATTATTATTATTATTATTATTATTATTACATTTATTATTGTACTCTCTTTATTGGAAGGATACGTGAGCACATTTACATTGAAGAAGATTAGAATAATGGTTTAATTATAGTTGGACAGTCTTCTCTTAAATTACAGTTTGATGTAAAATTTTAAAAACATTGAACCTACTGATGCCTCAATTAATGTAATTTTATTGGTATCTATTTTTATTTTGAAATTTACCAGTAGCTCCTGCATATTCCACCCTCAGCTTATACTAGAGTCAATACATTTTATTTATTTTTATTTTTATTTACCTTATATATACCGCTGTTCTCAGCCCGAAGGCAACTCACAGCGGTTCACAGCAATAAGAAACAGCAAAATTCAATGTTACAATATAAAAACAGTTAACAACTTAACACATTACCCAATTAATAAACAATAAACAATTAACTATTTCTACAATAGCCATTCACTATCATCTCATCATCAAAAACATGATCCAAATTCGTCATCCATTGATCCATTTCAGTGTTCATTAACCAATCATTGCACTAATTATTTATTTTCCCTTGGCTTATATTCAGGTCGGCTTATACTCGAGTATATACAGTAATTAAAAGGTACACAAGCTGCATGTGCTCTGTGGGGATGTCTTGTGTGGCTCCTTTCGTTCTCAAAAGGCCCCAACCCATTGCTAGGGAAAAAAGGAGGCTCCAGACCATGCAGTTATTTTATTCTGCCCCCAAAACTTGTTGCACCTTGTAAGGGGCCAAGCACTATTTTTAGAAAATTTGAAACTCTCAATCACTTCCGGTTTCTTCAGAAGTGAGGGAAATGACTTGTCAAAGTCCAGTTGATATTAAAAAAATATCATTACCCTGCATTAATGAATTTTCAAAAGGATAGTGATTACGTTTTCACAGGTTGAACTCCGCGATAGTGAGATTGAGCGTTTAGTACTTGCCCTCGATGGTGGGCGCTCTCATGATGTCATATCTCTGGAAGCCAAAAGCAGAAGCAATGAAAAAATTATTGCTCACTTAAACTTACAGGTAAGACTCTGGTAACTCTTATCAGTTTGTCCAATCAGAAACTTCTGAGATATTCCTCAGCCCCAAGTAAAGTTTTTGTGAAGTGCCAGAACTCAGAATCATATGAATACAAGGTGGTTCTTTATTTTAGTGCATAGTTCTGGCTTTCTTTGTCAATTTTTCTGTACAAGTGTTGAGATAAGCTTGTTTTAAAAAGTGAATAGTCTCACACATCTTTGTTTAGCTGTAATAGTGCTCATACTGGTTTATTTATTTGTATTGTTTTTTATGGTATAAATGCATTTCAGGTAGAATTTCTACAGCAAACAAATAAAGAGCTTGAAACACGCATACAAGAGCTTTTGGACAGTAGGCAAAATGTGACGAGTGAGGTGGTGGATTTAAGTAATAAAAATGATGAACTGTGCCAAGAACTGAGTGAAATAGATCATTTGGCTCAAGAATTGGAAAGGCACAAAGAAATGGTGCTCCAGACAGCAGATAAGGAAATTGGAGAAGCTAAGGTAAGGAAATTCTGCAACTTGGTAGAACATCAACACTATGTTCTATCCCCTATGCTAAGTCTCTGGTGCACAATCTATCACAGATAGATTATATTTTAAGTATCTCAAAATGTTGTGCAGAAAAAGTGCTTTGATTATGCTGAAGAATTGATGATAGGCTTCTATGTCAATGTAGGCATAACAGGCTGGATTTTTTTGGTTGCTTCAGCTTCACAATGTTTTCTGGTTGCAGTGACTTTGTGTTCCTTTCTGGCCCTCCTATTTTATTAGGAGTTCCATGTGGTGTGAGATCTAAGAGAGAAGGGTGGAATAGTACATTATTTACAATATTGTATTTATATTTTGAGGATGCCTGCCATAGATGCAGGCAAAATGTCAGGAGAGAATGTTTCTAGAACATGGCCATACAGCCTGAAAAACCTACAACAACCTAGTGTTTATGTTGTTCAGCACTAGGTACAAGAACACCATTGGGGGATGGAAATCGTTGAAATGCTGCTTGGGTTCTGTATTTCGGTGATTTTGAGGGAGCAGTGTGGTCCCTAATCTGTTGAATAAATGGGTGGATGCCTATTGACTCTAATGCTTCTGGACACTAAAGTGAAAACGTTTCCTTTTCTCTGATGAGATCTGGCCCACATGAGTTTGAAGCTGAAATGGCAGTAATCCCTTTATATAATTGCACAAGCTCATGAGCTGCTTTTCGTAGAAATAAGAGTACTTTGTGTTTTCAGATATTTAAAGCACTTTACATATATTGCTTTGTTGTAATCCCTTGTTTGGTATGTCAGATTATCCTGTATTAGAGTTCGAGGCAGAGATGAAGGCCTGTCCTGTTGGTTGTCCCAATTACAATATGCCCATTGAATCAATAGTATTTACATAAGAGTTGACACAGCATTTGACTATTCATTGAATAGGTATATTTTAATTGGGGCTACCACTTAATTCAGGCCTATCAGTGTTTTACGTGAGATGAGTGAATTCAATAATGGACTACATTTTAACAAGGGGCTTTCATATTCACAGTTCAATTTCTTATGCTTTCCCTATTAAAGTGTACTTACAATACATGTGAATTTAAATAACTTTTCCCATAACACCTGTTTATGTGAGTGAAAATTGTAGGTAATCTAAACACATAATAAAATTGAAATTATGTATATGTGTGTGTGTGTGTGGGGGGGGTGTCCACTTACAGAGACAAGCTCCTGCCTCTACAAACAGCTATATCTCCCACTACTGAGGAGACAACAATGGTCCTCCCTCCAATGACATTGCAGATTATAGCAAGTTCCATGAACATGTATAAGAGCCCTACCAGTGTCCTCCACAAACACCATACTGCTCACTACCCTAGTGAAGGCTTTCATATCGGAACAAATTCGTCCTACATTTTATATGTTTCCTCCACCACACACATCCCAGTGTTTCTGACTCTCCACTGGTGTGGAATTTGCATGACCCTACCCACTGTCTCTCCCTTAACCCTTTCCTATTCTTTTCTATGGCACACAGAAACAAAGGAATTGATCAGCAACTGAACATATTAGAGAGGTTTGGGGAGAATTCAGGATGTATAGGAGTTGCAGGTCCTGGGATGTATAGTTCACCTGCAATTAATGAACACTCAAAACTCCACCAAAGATGGAATTGGACCAAACTTGGTACACAGAGCCCCCATGACCAGCAAAAAATACTGGATGTCTTTGGGGGGAAATTAACCTTGATTTGAGGGAGTTGTAGTTCACCTACATCCAGAGAGCACTGGGAACCCAAACACCGATAGATCTGGACCAAACTTGACACATGTGATATTCTGAAATTTGATTACTGGAAGGGTTTGGGGGAACTGACCTTTTGTGGGAGCTGTAGTTCACCCACAGCCAGAGAAACTGTGACACCCCCACAGATGGTAGGGGTGGACTAAACTTGGCACACAGAACCCTCATCCCTAACTCAACCTATAGTGGGAGTTGTAGTTTACCCTAAAGCCAGAGAGCACACTGAACCTCACTGATTATGCATCTAGAGAAAACCTGCAAAACATAACAAACTTTAAGTACTGATAGAGTTTTTTGGGATCAACCTGATGTAATGTGAGCTGTAGTTCACTCACAATCTTACACATTTTGTACTATTAAAATTGACTTTTTCACATCACCAGGGCAACAGCAGGTACCCAAGCTAGTAGGCAATAATTTTAGGGCTTACATTCATTATCCTTTCATCTTCCATGTGTTTAAAAAGGAAGGCATTTGAAAATGTAACAGAGAAAAAATAATTGTGTATTTATAAAAATCTTAAGCTTTAAAAATGTTCATTACTCATGATTTTTAGGAAGAGATTAAGAAAAAATCCAGTGAAATCCAGGATCGTGAAGAAACTATAGCAAGACTTAAGTCAGTAAGTAATATTACTGTTGCAATTAAATTTAGTTTTCCTAAGTCAATGCATTTTCATCTTTAATTCTGCTATTAATGTTATGTGCCTCATAAAGACAACTGTGAATAATTCAAGAAAGCAAAAGCATGGTAGCATTTTGAGGCTAGTGAGTTTTTTCATTCACATCACAATTGAAATTTAATGCAGAAATATGACAAGTACAGGATTTTATTTCTTTCCGAACTCAGATTTCTTTCAGAGTTGTGATGCTAGGGCTAGATTTTTGTTGTAATGTGGATTTAAAATAGTAAATCACTAATATTTTTGATTAAAACAAATAGTATGTTTGAGAGTAATTGTTTGCCAGTAATTGTAGAAAGGAAACAATTTTAATGATTTCAAGTCCCACAATTTCAACAAGGGATAGAAATAGAATTTTAGACAGACAATTAAATAGTCTGTTACTATAAGCAACTTGCCACTTGACAAATATTCTTCCCTATTTTATCTTGTCTGAAGAGTGGAATTTAGCTACATTGTCCATATAAGCATCAATTAGTTAAAATTGAATAGAATCAAATATTAGGGTTGAATAATTTTAGATTTTTTAAATATTAATTTATTTTCAGGAATTAACTTCATCTCGCAGAGAAAAAGAGAGACTCACGGAAGAACTAATTGGCAAAACAGATGAAAAACAAAATCTTGAGTTTTTGTTAAACCAGGCTCAAACAGAGAACCAAAGGCTGACCAAGAAAGTTGAGAATCTTGAAATTATAGGTAAGCGTTTAAGGAACTTCATCTTAAAATCTTAGAAAATGCAAGGAGAAAAGTGACAGAATGTTACTGAATTGCTGAATTGTTTATTATTAGATAACTTGATCTTTGAATCCATTCTTGAACCTCCTTTATCTGTAGTTGGATGCTTCAAAGGGAGACCCAAGCAATAAGGCTTATATAACACATGTCTTCACAAAAGGCTTATATAATGTATGTCCATAATAAAACTTCAAAGAGAGATACCTGTCAGTATATCTGAACATAGTATTCTTAGAAGTGCAATATGTCTTGACACATTCAGTTTTAAGTGCAGTGCTACTTGTCTATTTGTGTACCTTTTGTTTATATAGGCAGTCCCCAAGTTATGAACAAGATTATTTTCAGGTTTGTTCCGAAAATGTGAAAATTGCTTGTTCATTCTTTTATCTCAGTACACATAGATGGCCTACTCTGGTTCTCACAGTTGCCTTTTCCCATTTATTTGTGTTAAAATGGGAACCCGGAGCTGTATTTGGCAGTTGCATCCTATGTAACAAAAGCTACAATGAGAATAACTTATTTTCTTAGGATTTGCTTCATCCATGCAAGCATTCTGCTCTAAGGGGCAGAAATTGAATAATTAATTGGGAGTAATAATTCACAAGATCCTTTGGGCATCAGATTGAAAAAAAGTAAAGCAAAGCTTGATTAACACATGCATTAATTCTGTCTTATTCCATGAGGCTTTGAGCTAAAGCCAAACTTGTTCAGTTTTAAAGACTATTCTACTTCCATTATATAACTCTGTTGAGGAATGAAAAAGATATAATTAGAGGTGCCCTTCTCTTCTTTATAACCTTTATCACTGCTCAGTAGCAAATCTTGTAATTCAGTAAAGAACAGAACAACTATTCCATTTTGTTGAGAAAGACAGTATATAAACAAGTGAAATAAATAAAAGTGGAGTTGTAGTTGTTTTACACTTTTTTGAGTATCGTGGCTAGGCAAGTTTTGATAGGTATATTATATAATGTGGTATCCTTTTGATTGGAAAAAAGACATTGGTTAAATAAAATGTTGAGTGTCCTGACAAGTGTATTGAGCTCATATGTGAAAACCAACTTTCAGATTTGTCACACATTTGAAGTTATTCTCATCCTTGTGGAAAATTGTGAATGAAAATCGAAAGTTTGCAAAGAGTAGTGACCTTTTATATTGTCAACTGTAAATTTGTTAATGCTTTAAATGTGGGCAGCTCTTGATAAGGGATGTTGTTGCTCATAGTTGTTGATTCCATTTTCTTACAGATCGGGAGCTTGTCACAGAAATAGAGAGGATGAGATTAGAAGGTGGCATAGCGCTTGGAGACAAGGCACCTTCTCGCCTAGATGCATTTATAAAGACCATAGAAGAAGACAGGGACTATTATAAGCAAGAACTAGAGTGTCTCCGAAAAATATTTAAAAGAAAATCTAGCCCATTACGCAAAACTCCAGAAAAGGTATTTCTATTTTGTTAAATATGGTACTTATTTACTGCCCTTGAAATGTCCAACAACGCTTCAGCATTAACTCATTTCACAAGATAAATGACCATTAGCGTTACTGCCCTACTGAGGACTGATTCTTGTCCATTTGAGAGTCATGCTTCCTTTCCTTTTCCAGTTCATTAAAGAGGCCAGAGTGGGATTGATCATGTCAAGGCCAGAGAGGGACTGGTCACGCGGCTAAATAGTTTTATACAGCGACCTCACTGTCTGTAGCTTTAAACAGTTCTTCCTCTGTGCATGAGGCAGGGCATTGTGTGCAAATATACAGATGCTGAGTTGTTTGTTCTGCTTCACAGTTGCACAAAGTGGTGGATTCTTTAGGTAGTGTCATTTAGCCAGGTTGTCTTTTGATCTCCCAGCACCACTTCTGAATACAGTGTTTCCTAAATGTTAGTGTTCAATCAAAGGTGACACGGAAAAATTTAGGATGGGAACAGTGTTTAAGCTTTTGGCTTTCCCAGGTAACTTTCAATTTCCTGTTGGCCTCATGGAAGGAAGTATTCAGTGCTTTGCAATAGCAGGACAGGATTCCAGCAACTTTAAAGGAGACAGTTACAAAACTGTTGTTGAACCTCCCATCAATAATATCCAACTTTCACTGTTGTTTATGTGCAAGATAATGGACTATATGGCAACATCCTAGTTTTAGTGCTTCCTGACTGAAGTAGCTTTACTTATTTACTATTTATTTATTTAAAACATTTATATTCCTCCCTTCTCACCCCGAAGGGGACTCGGGGCAGAGCACAGCATATATACGGCAAACAATCAATGCCAGGACACAAATTCTTATATACATACATAAACATTAAAAGCATGCATCAAAATATTAAAATACACCATTTAAAACCGTCCTAGTCATCCACGTCAAGTTTAATTGGCCTGGTAATCTTTCCTATTGCTGCTTTATTGCCCTGTCCCGAAAGCGACTTCAGGCTGATTACACTATGTAACATTATTTTTGTCCCTGAATTATAAATGCCATTTCCTAATTGGTTCTACCATAAAAATATGGAAAAAGTTTATTAAACTGCAGAAACTTTGTTTTTGCAGGATATTCTGCAGCACATTTTTGCTATAGTTTTTCAATGAATATTTCATCGAGTCTCAACCAATTCAGCATAGTTTGTGGCAGCCACAAAAATGAAGTTTCTGGAGTATAACAAATGTTTTCAAAGTAAGCACCACACAATTAAACAGGAAATAACACTTTCAAACAAGGAACAATTTTTTTTTAAAAAAAATGCTTACATAGTGTTATGATATAAGAGATAGTTTTGTGCATCTTAGGGCCCATCCAGACTGTACCTTTATTCCAGGAGCTCCCGGTTCAAAATGCAGGGTGTCCCAATGACGGCTCAAGACAAAGCAGGGAAATCCTGCTTTATTCCAAATTAATTAGATAGCCCATTAGATCCGGGCCTTCCTAAAAGGCCTGGTTCTAATGAACTGTGGGAAATTACCCCTGGGTAGCTCACGACTACCTAGAAATCCATTCACATACCCATCTCGTACCTTCTGGGAGGCCAGAGATGCGAAATGACCCCCACACCCTTCCAAAAAACCTTCAGAAAAGCCCTAAAATTGTTAACGTACCAGGCCACCATTAGGCTTTACAGCACATTTCCTGGAATATACCAATTATGTGTGTAGGGGGGGTGGGCGGCAAATCATTCTGCCACCCCTGACCTTGTGTGTAATGGGTTCGAGAAAGTGTACTGCAAGGCGTAATGGCGACCTGGTAACTTCTTAACCATTTTTAGGGCTTTTCTGGGAGAAAATGCGTTGTATCCGTGTTGCTGTAACAGTTCTGCTGTACCTTGTAAATAGAAATATAGATCTGACGTTAAATATAATTTCCCCTCTTTTCTTTTGTTTCTTGATGTCTTTATTTTACAGAGTGACAATCTTAGATTAATTACCAGAGAGCGGGATGAACTGCAATCCATGTTAGATAGATTTGAAAAACACATGATTGAAATTCAATCTAATGTCAAATTGTTAACTGCAGAAAGGGACAAACTAAGCATTCTTTATGAACAGGTAAGTAAATATGTGATTGCTAGCAGTCAACGGATGGGACAATTAGAACGTAATACATCTGAGTCCTAAAAATTATGTTCACTTTCACGTTCATATTCAAAAATAAAGCAGTTGCAGAGATAGGGTTAAACCTGGAAGCAACAGTTTGAAAAATATAGTATTGTATTGGTTTCAGGACTCACTATGTATACCAAAAAATATGGATGCTCAGGTCTCTTGATTTAGGAGTTTGCATGCTACTCAAACCAACCGTCCCCCCATTCACACTTCTAAAAGTGTCACCGCTGTTTCTCCACTCTGACAATCAGTTTCTCCTTGCTCTCTCCTTCATCCAATCCCTTCCATCCCACCAGTATTGCGTGCACCCCAAAAGCAGTAGTTGTCACAGTGCACACAAGCCCTGAGCTCCCCAACAACCACTTCCCTCTCTTTTCTTTTGCTCCCTCACCTGCATTCACATGATCTCCAGCCTCCCTTTCTCACCCCAAGAATTGCTTTCTGCTCTTCCTTCTGTGCTCATGAGCCCCAGCCTTCCCAGCAACCACTTTTCGTTTTTTCTCATCCTGGCATGTGAACCCCTCTCCAATCTGACAACTGTTTCCTGCTCTTTCTCCTTTTTGCTCTCCCCTGTTCCACTTCAATGGCTTCTTCACACTCAGCAAGGGAGGATCACAGAATTGAATATTTAAGTTTATTTATTATTTTTGATCTGTGGGTTACTGAATCTGCAGATCCAGAGCACATGGATCAGGAGCATCTAGTGTAAAGACTTTCTGTATATATTTCAGATTTCAATATTAATGACAAAAATACGTAGTATGATAATTAATTCCTGCTTGTGCCGTAATAGCCTAGCATTCTGTGAATTTGGAGGAATGCCCAAAAGTTCAATATATGCACCAAGCCAGTGCTGAATCAGATGTTTTCACATATCTGGAAAAAATTAGGTCATTCTTCCTCTTTTCTCTCTTTTTTTTTACCCCGTCTTTTCTATGTTTTCTCCCCTCCACAGAAAAAAAAAACCCATATTGTGTGTGTGTGTGTGTATGCTTCTTTAATAGTCACTATTACAATAATAATTTTGTACTTGTAGTCACAAGATGAGTTAAATTCTCTGCGGAGAGAAACAAAAACTTACTTGGCGACCCAAAGTCATACAGAAGAAGAAAGAAACATTGCAATGACAGATTTCAGAAGAGTAGTGGCAGAGAAAGAAGGGCTAAAAGAAAAATTAAAGGTCAGCTTTTTTACAAAGACTGTGCGCTGTTTGAATCCTGTAAAAACCTTTGGATGCTTTCTTACCATAGAAGATTTTCTTTTCTCATGGGTGTTTCATTTAATCAAATGACTTCAGTTGTACAATTTCCCAAATGTTAAGGCACATGTTGCAGTTACATCAGCTATATGTCATTGTTTGTTGTTTCTAATATCACATTACCAACATTTCTCTTGTTGCTGCTGCTGCTTAGTAGTAGTAATGCCGAAATTGTATGTCACTTCAGCACTTCTAACAAATCATAGAAAAAAAAATATGAACACAGAAAAGGCCAATAAAATAGTTCCTCCATATGAAATAATCTAAATGGGTGGAAAACTGTCTTTAGTTCTTATTACAAAGCCTAGGTTTCAGTGGCTGTGTCTAGATTATAAGAAATGTTCACAAATGCCACTTGTCGGCTCTTACAAGTGACATATTTGAGATTGATTTATGTAAAACAGTAGCAGTGCCATCAATTACATTCTTGTTTAATCTCTTGTTTCTAATACACCACTGGTATAATTTAAGGGATAAGAGGTATACATGAATATCACTATCTGAGGGTTTCACTGCAAGAAGATGTTGAGGTTTTAGTGATGAAATGAAAATGTGTATATATGCTCATTTTGATTATTCAAAGGTTCTGCTATTCCCTACTTTTGCTGCATCTCACATCTATATAGTTTAAGACAAGTTGGATGGAATGTATATCCAATTTTACCTGAACCATGCTGTTCTGCCAATTTACTTGCTGTATATACTCATGTGTCAGACTCTGGAAGATCTTGGGAGTTAAAATCAAGTTCACAACAATAAAACCCTGGAGACAAGTGGTTTATTCCTTCTTTCCACACTACTAAAAAGACAGTTCTAAAGTTTTCCCACTCAGACCTCCTGTATATATCAACCCCAACTCCCATCCACCCCTGTGGCCACAGTCTGTTAACTGAAGTTTCAGTTTCCCTCACAAAAAAGATGTCTTATCTACACTACCTTCCCGAACTGTACCCAACCTCCCCCTCTCTTACACACACACCCCTCCTCCCTTCTTTATGGCAGAGAACTGAACCAGCCAGTCCCAGGCTGATACGGTTATTCTGACACATGTAAACATTTTGATTTTTTTTTGAAAAAAAGACCCAAAAACCCTGGATTTGACTTATCCATGGGTCAGTGTAAGTATTGTACAGTAAATAATTTAGAAAAAAGAAACACCCCTGAGTAGAGTAACACAAATCAGTCCCAAAAGAAGTATCACCCCCTCTAGTCTCTCTGCCATGGTGCCACTTCTGGCCTTCTGAATGCCTATATAGGATATGACAGTGTCAAGAGGTGAATGATCCCTTGGGGTAGCACTGATGCTTTTCAGTGTATTGTCAAAGGCTTTCACGGCCAGGGTCACTGGGGTATTGTGTGGTTTCTAGGCTGTATGGTCATGTTCTAGCAGTATTTTCTCCTGACATTTCACCTGCATCTGTGGCTGGTATACATATCATACATCAAATGAACCATTAACTAGGGAAACTGATGAAGGAACATAACCTATAAACACTCTACAGACCCACTAAGAAAATTCAACAAATGCTATGTTCAGCAAAGGATAAGAGGAATCCTCTAACTACTGCAGGAGTCTACTGCATCTCATACAGCTGTGGACAAGTCTACATAGGGACCACCAAGCACAGCACCAAGAAACAAATCCAAGAACACGAAAGGCACTGCAGACTAAAAAAAATCAGCAATAGCAGAACACATGATAAACCAAGCTGGGTACAGAATATTATTTCAGACTACAGTAAATCTGGACCATTCTGACAAGCACTATGTCAGACTACACAGAAAAGCCATTGAAATCCACAAGCATATGGACAACTTCAACAGAAATGAAGAAACCGTGAAAACGAACAAAATTTGGCTACTATTGTTGAGAAACACTAGAATCAAAACTGACTAATGGACACCCCCACCCCCCAGACACAGGCAGTAAGCAATCAAGGACTAGTGAACCCCACCCAGAAAAAGGATGTCTCCAGGCAGCAGACAATTCAAATGTAACAAAGACCAGGCTACTTCCATACAGATGCCCTACTCATATGCTAATGGGTGAATCCCACTCGACACACATGAATCCAGCTTGCCAAGTGCACCCTTTACACATGTTTAACAGCCAGTTATTCTTTTCTCCCACCCTGGACATGCCACAAGTATATATACTCCACTTGCCTTACTACCATTAGATCCTTTGGAGATGTCAGCCAAAGATGAAGGTGAAACTTCAGGAGAAAATGCTGCCAGAACACAGACATACAACCCAGAAACCACATAACACCTAACTGATACTTTTCCCTCTCTGAAGAATGACCCTCAACTTATTTATTTACTGTATTTGTATACCGCCTTTCTCAGTTAAAAATGTTAAAAATGTTGTCAGGACTCATTAGTCGTTCCATTTTCCTATGTCAGTTACTCTGCATTTGCAAACGTTTGTTCAAAAAGCCATGTCTTGACTTTTTTCCAGAATGTTAAAAGGGAGGTGGCCGATCTAATATCTATAGGGAGGGTTTTCCACAGCTGAGGGGCTACCACTGAGAAGGCCCTATTTCTTGTCTCCATCAACGAGAGGAGAGCCTCCCCAGACGATCTTAAGGTCCTAGATCATTGGTTCTCAACCTTTCTAATGCTGTGGGGACCCCCAATCATATTTTCATTGCTACTTCATAACTGCTACTGTTATGAATTGTAATGTAAATATCGGATATGCAAGATGTATTTTCATTATTACAAACTGAAAATAATTTAAGCATAGTGATTAATCACAAAAACAATATGTTTGGGGGGAGTATGGACAACTGAATGGGATTGCCAGTACCTTCAACCGATTCAACTTAGCCATGGGGTCCTATCAAAATCCATAATTTTGGTCCCAAAACTTACCCTCAACTAATACATCATCTTATACATGAACATATACAGTATCTAAATTAGTTTAGATAATAATTAGTTATAAATGGTTACAATGCTTTTCATATTTTCATATTTTAATAGTAATTCGTTGTTGTTGTTTTTGTTGCTGTGTGGCTTCAAGTTATTTCTGACTTATGACACACCTAAGATGAAGCCATGATGGGGTTTTCTTGGCAAGATTTATTCAGCATGGGTTTTCTTGTGCTTTCTTTTGAGAAAATATAACTTCCTCTGCATCACTAGTAAATTTCCATGAGCAAGCAGGGATTTGAACTCTCTTCTCTAGATTCGTAGTGCAGCACTCAGATAACTCTGCCATACTGACTCTCCAAGTTGATGTATTTAATTATATGTGATGTATTTAATTATATTTAATTTTAAAATATTTAATTTATGTTATTAGACCCAGCAAGAAGAAAACTCAAAACTAGAGAAGGAACTATCAGAGTTGGAAAACACTCTACATACAGTAAGCATTCACTGATATCATAATTAATGTGTGCATAGTGGTGGAATGTCATTTTTTTTTTTTTGTATATGCACTGACTATTGAGATTGGGATCATTACTGGAATATTTACTCATTTTTTCACAATGAATTGGATATAAAAAATGTTGATAGTCATTATACACTAGTAGTAAAACGTTTTCTACTGGAGTAACTAAGATCTCTAAGATCTCTAAAAGCTGCAATCTCTAAGATTGCAGCTTTTCCCTCTGGTTTTCTAGTATCTGTTTTGGTACATTATATGTAAGATTTTTGTTTAGCTTTAAAATGTACATATTAAATTTCCTCAAGAAAAATACAATACTCAGCAGATTAAGTAAATAATACTCATTTCTTCTTTGTGCTGTAGTTGGAAACAGAACGCCTTGATCAAGTAACAACAATTTCATTATTCAAAGAAAAAATAGTCAGCTTAGAAGATGAATTAAATGTCAAGTCTCACCAGCTTTCCCAAACCTCTGAAGATACTTCGCAGTTAAAGACAGAGTTAAGCTCACTTCAGTAAGTCCAGCTGTGTTTTTATTTCAAGTCTGAATATTGTTGTGTGCCTTCAAGTCATTTCTGACTTACAATGCCTCTCAGGTGAACTTATCACAGAGTTTTATTGGTGAAATTTGTGTGAGCTGGTTTGCCATTGTTTCCTCTGAGGCTAGAAGGCTGTGACTTGAGAAAAGGTCACTAATGTATTTCCATGACCAAACATAGATTCGAACCCTGATCTCGCAAAGTCTTTATCTAACACGCAAACCACCCCTCTTTAATGGATCCTTAGTACTGTACACATCTTTCAATTTCACGCCATTTTACACATTTTTGAAATTTGCTTTGCATTCTACAAAAAAGATACTGATCCATGTCTGGTTGGTTGCATTTAAAATTGTGCTTCTTAATCCAGAAATCATGAACTGCTAATTGGTATTAAGGAGAGGGCACCTTGCATACATTTTGTCAAGTTTGTCATTTCTATACTCAATCTATGGCTTAGCTCATTTTAAAAATTAATATACAATGCCTTTGAGTCTAATTAAACCGTAAGTTGTATCACTTTCTGTATTTCATAGAGATAAGATTGTTATTCTTTAATGTTATAGTGTCCAGTATCAATATGTAATTCTAGTTGATGTACTGCACTACCAAGGAATTTAAAAGGACGGTCCAGTAGTCTTGTGCATTTTTATAGAATCATTATCCGTTTCTGTTTGTTTCATTCGTATGGCCCCATTTTCGTTTTTGAGCACCGCTTCCAGAATGGGACCCCTTCTCCTCTGATTGGCCCAACTGGACTCAGAGATAAAGCAATGCTGGGCCATGCCACATGGCCCGAAAGGCAGATGACCACACAGTTACTGTTGTTATTTTCATTTTCATTTCACTATTATTTCCGTAGTGGGGAGTTGAACTGTTTTGTGCCATCCAAATGAAAGAAAGATATGAAATAAATGGATGAAATGGTAACCAGGCCCATGACTACTGTCCAGCACCTTAACAAGAAAATTCCACACCAAGCATGCTTCTCGCCTTTGGAAGTCATCCAGTAGTAATGAGTACGCTTCAAAAGCATAGATACAAATTACCCTTGCTCCGAAAATATTGTATTACTATAGGGTAGATCAAAAGTTTAAAAAAGGGTTTCAATATTTAATAACTCATTTTTTGTTTTTAATTGATAATAGTATATTATTATTATTATTATTTATTTGTATTCCACCCTATCTCCCCAAGGGGACTCATATACAGTGTGTGTGTGTGTGTGAATATATATATATATATACACACACACACACACACACACACACATACATGAAATAAAATGATTTTTACAATTTCAAAAAGTTATTAAAACATCAGATGCCCTTGTGATTTTTGGCCCACTGTATGCTTTGTAACTAATATGCTTTGAATAAAATTGGAATTGCTTTGAGATCATCACATTTCAAAATCTACATTTTGCATTTCTTCCACCCACACTATCAAAAATGGATATTGATTCTGCAGGGTAATAAATGAACAAATACAGAAATCCTTAGACGAGACACAGCATCAGTTATCTCTTAAAGAAGATGACTTTCATTCAACTCAAGAAGAAATTGCAGTGCTAGAAGACAAAGTCGGTGAGCATTGTTTCATATTTTGGGCACATTTGATCTTCACTTTTGGTAGGTATTCCCAGGAAAATTGTACCTGTTTATGGTCATCAAATAACCAGAGAATAGTTTACAAAATCTTTTGTGGAAAGTAAGGGGGTGATAGTCTAGCACAGTGGTTCTCAACCTAGGTTTCCCAGATGTTTTTGGCCTTCAACTTCCAGAAATTCTAACAGCTGGTAAACTGGCTGGGATTTCTGGGAGTTGTAGGCCAAAAACATCTGGGGACCCCAGGTTGAGAACCACTGGTAGCATTTTGAAAATTCAGAACAACCCAGAAGTAAAATTATTTGGCAATAAGAAGTTATTTGACCCAGAGCAGTGAATTACAAAATGAACAGACACACCATATAGTTTCTCCCACAGAGCTCAATATGTGTGAAGCAAGTGAGCCAACCTGTGATAAACACTTTGTTGTTTTCAGATACGCTCAGTAAAAAGATCTCAATGCAAGAGGAGACTATCCGTGTACTCAGAAGTACTATTAATATATTGGATAAAGAGAAGGACAACCTACAGGAAAGTATAGATGAAAAGACAGAAAAAAATGCTTATCTAGATGACAATTTGGCAAACAAGGTATGTATACAAAGAATGGGATAAATTACCTGAAGCATTTGATAATAGAACTATTTTGTACTGTATTATAGGCAAGGATTTAAAAAATGGTAGAATATCAAACAAAAAAAATTGTCCAATTTTACAGCAGACTTACAAAAAGAAATGTACCTGTCATTGGTTCTGAACTCACTGTTTAAATTTATCCATACTTGATCTAAATCACTACCTCTTAAACTGTGAGTCCTGGCCCAAATGGGTCCCCTTAGCTCAATGCTGGGATCCCAAAAAATTTGGCAACAACAAAAGGTTTCTGAACATCACTAAGTGGCTGTTTTAGATATTTACAAGAGTCTATTGAGCAGTGTTTACAGTGGACTCAGCAGAAGAAGGTTCAGCTATACTTCCTTCATAAAAAGGAAAATCATCCTGTTTAGCAAGCCTTGCAAATGCTGATTCAGTTCGATAAATGTTTGATTTTTATACCTATATATTCAATGTAATTTAAACATCTCGGGCCAGAAGGGGTTGTGAATGGAAAACTTTTACAAAGCCCTGATCTCATTACAGATATGTAAGAAACTATTATAACAAATGGTGGTGGTTGTGATTATCATGATAGTGCCATGACCATGTCAGCTTTTGCTTCTCCCTTTTTCCTTTCTTCTTTCTTGCCATGAGAGTGCTGGCAAATGTTGGAAGAGGGAAAATAGTTCCATGTCTGATCTACAGGTTTTTCTGTTATTTTCTGAGAGTGGTAACTCTTTTTCCTACCATAATAATTGTTTCAAGCAAGCAAGGCAAAGGGGAAAATCAAGTATATTGCAATAGCTTTAAATAAGAGAAGGAGCATTGTTTTCTCTGTGCTGGTTGTCTCATCTCTTTGTTCATATTATACTATGTAATACGATTTTTGTTCCTGGGTTGTAAATGTCATTTTCTAATTGATTCTATCATAAAACATGGAAAAAAAGTTATTAAACTGCAGAGAGTTTGTTTTGTTTTATCAAGTACAGAATGCATATAACAGATGTTAAGACTATCATCAACCATTGGGAAACTTTCCACTATTTTTAACATCTTGAACTATCGAGATATTGCTAAAAATAAGTGGCTGGTAGGGTTTTGTAGCATGGCTATATACTTGTTACAGAGTTGTTTAGTTGATTGTTTGAAATTGGATCTAGTAGTGCTGTCACTTGGTTCATTGATGCTTTTTTAGAGTTTTAATTACAGCAGGAAAAATCAGCAACATAAATAATTTTGTATTTTTATAGGAGAAAACTATCCTTAATTTGCGGCAAACACTCAGTCAGTTGGAAACAACCTTAGAGTAAGTAACTTAGCAAACGTTGTTACTTTTTGACTGCTTTTAATCCTGTCTTGCGGTGGCTAAGGTAGTTTTGAAAAAAAAATCTTTTTGTTATTGCCTTTTGTAGTTAATCAGAAATTAAACATTTCTTTTAAGTCATTGATTTATCAAACTCACAAAATACTCATAAACATACCTGAAAGAAAATCGTAAAATAATCGAGAAGCTAAAGAAAAGTATAACCATCATACTTTCTGGCAGCATTGTCATGTTAGAAGAATACCATATTCCACTACACAACAGTTGCATTTTATGCCTTTTTTCCGGAAACAACGGCTTGTGTGCAACCATTATGTGAAGAAAAGGGTGTCTTAAGTTCATTAGTTTCCGTTTTGTCTTACCTGTGAGAGACAGTAAAAATGTTTTTTTAAAAAAACAAACCAGAGCTGGCTAGGGTTCCTCTCTTCGCAGAGGCAAGAAAGGGAGAACCCCAGCTAGTTCTGGTTTGATTTGTTTGTTTTTTAATAACTTGTCTTACATCCAAGAAGAGCCACAGCCCCAGCTGGCTCCAATGCAAAATTAAGTGAGAAAAGGCAGGAAACCAATTTTGGACTCCCAAGGAGTGGTGCAACGATTATACGTTAGCGACTATTACGTTGTGCAATGGTTTCAGAAAATGTAATTTTAGCACTATCAAGAAAAAAAACCCACCTAGGTTGCAGTTCGACACAATTACTATGAACATTCAGTACATAATATTGTAATGTCAATCTCCTCTTCCACTTTTTTGAAAATACATTTTAGAACTGGACTACCTTATCCATTAATTCCATTATACAAATTGAACAGTTGCTGAATTTTTACATTTTGCAGCACATTATTCATGGGGGAAATGGCCAAGTTAGGCCATGTCTCATAAAAATGTGAATTCTGAAGTATTTCCATTTATCTTTTTTTAAAAAATATTTTAAAGGCTCGTTTTTCAGATAGGCATTGAATTTAGGATCCCTATGTTAAGTTGTCCATCAGTATTGAGTTCAGAGTAATGCCAGTTTTCTATCTGAATTTTTTTTTCCTGATTCTTAAATGCTTTCACATCTTCTTCATACTACACTTCTGGTAACAAGTGTTTTGCCCCACTTAGCAATTCATTGACAAACCAGCTACAAGTCAACTAGTATCCTTAATGAAAGAGTGGCTCCAATGGGATGGATGCTATATGGGGATGGTTAGATGAAACTTTTAGCAAAAAAAAAAGACTAGAAATCAGGGAAGGGTGAGTTACAGTATGCTTTAGGAATGGCTTGGACTGGCTTTTACTCTGAAATGAGCCAAAAGATCTCCAAGGAAGAGAATGTTCTTGTGCCTAATCAAGAAACATGAAACATCCTGTTCACAGGCAGATATAATTATAATTTAAAGCCCATTGATAAATATTACTGATACAGCAAGCACTTTTCAGTTTAAAGCCAAATGTGCTGATACAGAGGGATCTTCATTATTAGATTATGGTTATTCTATAAACATATATACCATAATGTAAAAGATAAATTCTGTTTAAGGTTTTCCCAATCCCCCATTTGCTAGTCAATTAAAGGATGTCTTAAGTGGTAAGGACCGTGAACTTGCCAGTCTCCGCCGCCAGATTGATGGTCTCCACTCTGAGGTTAGCGAAATCGGCACAGTTAAAGAGATGGCCCTGAAGGAAAACAGAAGATTGCAGGATGATCTAGCCACAATGGCCAGGGAAAACCAGGTACAAGAATAATTCCTAATGATACATGCCTTCGACAGTACATATTTTAAACAATGTTTGCATAAACTGAAATGTCCAAAATACGGTATTTATAATTTGAGATACTGAGTTACTACTTATTGTCGCTTTCTTGTAATGTCCAAACTCAATCAATCAGTCAAATCATTTATTTCGGTCATTGACCAGCACAGGAAATAGAGACACATTTTCATACAAACTTGATATGTTTGGTACATTAAAAATATAAATATAACTACTGAAGCACAATATGGGTGAGGGAGCGGAAAGGAGGGGGAAACAGGGTAAAAACATACAATGCCCAGATCCATCACCAAATTGTAAATTCAGAGAAGAAGATTACTGGACACACAGTTAACTTTTGGGACTAGTCATTCCCTGACGGATTTTGTATGCTGCTGCACAGAACTTTGTAACATTGTAGGTTGTAGCTGAATTAGTATGTCCAAACTGTGTTTTAAGAGATCAGGAAGTCTCCAGCTTCTGATGATGATGATGATGATGATGATGATTATTATTACTAGCCATCCCCTGCCATGCATTGCTGTGGCCCACATGGGGGTTCTGTGTTGGAAGTTTGGCCCAATTCTATCGTTGGTGGGGTTCAGAATGCTCTATGATTGTAGGTGAACCATAAATCCCAGCAACTACAACTCCCAAATGTCAAGATTTTATTTTCCCCAAACTCCACCAGTGTTCACATTTGGGCATATTGAGTATTCGTGTAGAGTTTGTTCCAGATCCATCATTGTTTGAGTCCACAGTGATCTCTGGATATAGGTGAACTACAACTCCAAAACCAAAGGACACTGCCCACCAAACCCTTCCAGTATTTTCTGTTGGTCATGGGAGAACAGTGTGTCAAGTTTGGTTCAATTCTATCATTGGTGGGGTTCAGAATGCTCTTTGATTGTAGGTGAACTATAAATCCCAGCAACCAGAACTCCGAAATGACAAAATCAATTTTTTGAGTGAAGGACATATATTGGATTGTTAGGTGTCTTTTGTCCAAATTTAGTGTCAGTTTGCCCAGTGGTTTTTGAGTTTTGTTAATCCCACAAACGAACCTTACATTTTTATTTATATAGCCTAGCCGCCACGCGTTGCTGTGGTGATCTGGAAAATAAAGTAATGAGAAAGTGTTGGTTTTAATATAAGTAATTTCTTTCTGCTTGTGGGTAAACAGTATTTCTTGTTGTTTCTTTGTCAGTGTTTATGTGGAGATCGTCTGGTTTGCCTATTCTGGAATATGCGACATATCATAGTCCTTCTTTAGGGGTCCCTTTCAAATCTATGATGCCATATCTGTGTGTGTGTGTGTGTGTGAATCATATCTCTCTATCTATATCTATGGATGGGTGGCTCTTTGTCAGGAGGGCTCTGATTAAATTTTCTTGCCCTGGTGAAGAGAGTTGGATGGGATGGCCTTAAATATTTTCTGTTGGTCATGGGGGTTCTGTGTGGGAAATTTGCCCCAATTCCGTCATTTATGGGATTCAGAATGCTCTTTGATTGTAGGTGAACTATAAATCCCAGTAACTACAAATCCCAAATGTCAAGGTCTATTTCCCCCAAACTCCATCTGTGTTCATATTTGGGCATATGGAATATTCGTGCCAAGTTTGGTCCAGATCCATCATTGTTTGAGTCCACAGTGCTCTCTGGATGTAGGTGAACTACAACTCCCAAACTCAAGGTCAATGCCCACCAAACCCTTCTAGTGTTTTCTGTTGGTCATGGGAGTCCTGTATGCCATTGGTTCAATTCCATAATTGGTGGAGTTCAGAATGCTCTTTGATTGTAGGTGAACTATAAATCCCAACAACTACAACTCCCAAATGACAAAATCAATTTTTTTTGAGTAAAGGACATATATTGGGTTGTTAGGTGTATGCTGTCCAAATTTGGTGTCAATTGGCCCAGTGGTTTTTGAGTTCTGTTAATCCCACAAACGAACATTACATTTTTATTCATATAGATTTCAGCTGCATAGCTGGTGTTATCCTGAATTACAATTTCCTCCTTATTCTGATGTGAAGTACACAGTGTTTTTCTACTACTTGTTTCTAGTTGGTAAAGCCTGATTCAGGCAAATGATTGATTACTGATGTGAAGTACACAGTGTTTTTCTACTACTTGTTTCTAGTTGGTAAAGCCTGATTCAGGCAAATGATTGATTACTGCATATAGTACATTTTTGCCAATATTGAATGTTTTCAGGAAAATGAAAGCTCTGGCTTGCAAACATGTAAACGCAATTTGCAATTGACCCTTTTTATGCCTTGTTAGCTAGTCAGACTGACATTGTTTTGCTACTAAAAATGCTCAGCTATGAAAATTCATAAAATGTTACATTCTCTGGGTGACTGCCTGAGCAATCCATACTCATGTCATTATTGGTTGATTTGCACTTACTGTGGTGCACTAATAACATCATCAATTATTTTGCTCTGAAATTGGTGATTTTTACCTGTGGTAACCAGTTCATGATGGAAATGGGGACACGAATGAATGAATGCTTGCTCTGATTATTTTTTTTATGAAAAGCTATTCAATCAAGTGAGCAAGCATCCACCTGAAGTTTGAAATGGTAAAACCCAATTGTAGGTTTGTTGCAAGAAATATCTCATTTGTTTGTATGTCATCTAAACAGGCAGTCTCAACTGAATTGGAAATGGCTTTACGTGAAAAAGAAGAAATGAAAATTAGAGTCCATAATTACATAACTGAAGTCTCCAGGTTTGAAAGCTTGATAAGCACAAAGGTGAGAAATGTGTGATCAAAGTCAGTGTGAACATTTTGTGAATAAAATGTACTATAGGTTATATTTAATGGTGAAATCTTTTTGTGATCTCCATTGAACTAACACGGCTTCCACAGCAAAGCCAATTTCTGCAACTTGTATAAATGTAGTAAGTCTAGCTAATACAGGTTTGCTTATTTTGCTAATTTCTTTTATTCTACGGAAGGAAATTATGTAATTCACAGAAGTATGAGTTGGAATCCAGATGAGCTTTTCTCTCACTTTTAAAATTTCACAAATTTGCCCATATATATTTTTTATATTAAGAAGGGTGAACATTGATTTTACGAAAGTTTAATTAATTGACGTCAGGAGTAATCTAGTCATCACAACAAAGGTGAATAGTGTAGAAACCAGAAGGGGCTCAATTTAAAAGTTTTTTTGAAGGAAGCATTGTGGCCTGGTATTTAAAAGCAACATTCTAGGGCTTGCTAGGCACACAACTTGCAATATGCACTAAACTATTTGATTCCTTCCTATTTCCCTCTAGCCTAGTGGTTCTCAACCTGTGGGTCCCCAGATGTTTTGGCCTTCAACTCTCAGAAATCCTAACAGCTGGTAAACTGGCTGGGATTTCTGGGAGTTGAAGGCCAAAACTCCTGGGGACCCACAGGTTGAGAACCACTGCTCTAGTCATTTGACTGCAGGATGCAGTGTGCAAGTTTATGAATTCAAGTCCATGCAAAGGGCAAGATTATGCCCATCCTCAGAATGCTAAATTCTGAAGGAAATAGCCAATTATATTCAAATATGCACTGTGATTGTACATGCAAAGCTTCTTGTGCAACCCAGGGCCCTTCTACACAGCCATATAACCGAGACTATCAAGGCAGATGATCCACAATATTGGCTTTGAACTGGGTTATCTGTGTCCACACTGCATATAACCCAGTTCAAAGCAGATAATGTAGGATTTTATACACTTGTGTGAAAGGGGTCCAAGAGATCATAAATTTACTCAATTTGCTTGTGAAATATAGTTAAAATAACTGAACATAACATCATAATCATCTTCTGACTCGGGATATTATTTCACAGGTACATATCTTTACTGCACACTGATTGTTTGTCTTAAACTCCAGGAGGGATGCTTAAAGTGTTCTCTCCTAAAAACTGTGCCATTTTTGTAGGCCACCAGTTTGCCCATCCCTTCATCTAGTGTTTTCTTGAAGAGATGTGCCTGGAAACATGATGTAACACTCCCCAGCCCCAGAAAATTGTGACTGGAAGTTGTTTCCACTTACCATTATGGACTGATTCGGGGCTAGTGTGGCCTACCACAAGTCTGCAGGGGTGATAGTTATGATCTAGAGAGTGATATGAAAATACCCACTTTCAACCGTTCACACTCCAGCTCCCCCACACTGCTTTTAGTATTTCAGTAGATGAAAAAGCAGCATGAGGCTTGCTCCCAAGTACATGTGTATTATTTTTTGGTTTTCTATTTTAACAGCTATCATACTAAACCTCCAGTTTGCTTTTTAAACTTGAAACTTATAGCTCATTGAGAGTGTGAATTGTATGCATGTAAACATGTGGGTCACAAACAAAGGCCTTCATTTTACCCTGCCTAATCCCTTTAACATTAGCACAGCAGGCTGAACATGAACAGTAACATCCTTGTGTGCAGCAATCAGAATTTTTATCAACTTAAAAAAAGCAATGTCTAAAAAAAACCCCTCAAATCCTAATTCAAGGACTCTGATAGTATATTTTTGAAGAGGGAAAGAGAAGAATAATGTGTGTAATGTGGACATCGGCACAAATTCATTTTTTCCTCTACATGATATAGTGAAGCAATATGCTGATTGAACTCAGAAACATAAAAAGGGTCAAATGATTGGTGTTAAAAGCCATTTGTTACAATGATCCATTGTTCAAAGGGTGGATATTTCTGTTGGACTAGGAAAGAGAGAACAAGGACTTGTTGGAGCAGTTCCAGATGCTCCATAGCCAAGCTGAGGATTGGGAAGTGAAAGCGCATCAAGCTGAGGGGCAAAACAGTTCTGTACGGCTGGAACTCCTTTCTGTTGATACTGAGCGGAGACACCTAAGAGAGAGAGTGGATCTACTGGAAAAAGAAATTCAGGAGGTAATTATCAGTACTAGCTGAATTATTGCTTCTGGTCCTCTTTACTAGTGTGTGTTCTAAATCAAAACAACTTGGCATAAATTTGGGATTCTATATAAGGAGCAGGTGGTGGTAATTAATCAGTGTGAGATGCCTAAGGGAAAACTAGCTTCAATTCTATTTCTGTTCTGGCTTAATATCTGTTAGGTCTTGCAAAAAGTTGTAAGTACATTTCAGAAGAGAAAAATCACTACAAGCTGTAGGGGTTCCTTTTCGATTGTTTATAAACAACAAACAAGGGAGTTTTAATTCCATTAGTGTACTAACTGGATTCTCTCTGTGTTGCAATGTCTGGGATTGGATTATCTCTGGTGTTATCACTCAGGAAAAGAAAATCTTACATGATAGAAAGGCAAAGGGAAATACTGACTTCCTGTCTCTTCCCTCAGTTTTTTTCCTCTTCACGTTGCTTGGGGCAGCTGTCTTTTCTCTTCCTTTTCATTCATTACTTACCTAAGTAGATTAAGGTTTTGGAAAGTGTGGCCCAAGGGCTACATACAACAGATCCAGGATCTAGTCTTGTGCATTTGTATAGGATCACTATCCTTTCTGTTTAATTCGTATGGCCCTATTTTCGTTTTCCAAAAACAGCGCCTTTTCCAACTGGGCTTTTTTGTCCCACATCTCAAAAAAAAAAAAACAAATATTTTTTATCTCATTGGTTGCAATGGGCGGGTGATCCTATACAAATGCTCCCCTTCCCCACAGTTTTAGGGCTGTTGCTGTTTCCCCCTTCAATTGGGAAACCTACCTTGCACCACTGCAAGGTCTCTTCATCGGAAATCCTTGGCGCAGGGCTAGTGGCTTGCCGGTTGCCAGGGCTTGCCCTCCACCACTCGGCAACTGTGCAGGCCCAAAAGGCCCATGTACTTTAGGCCTATGTGTGCGGGCATGCCAGGGCCTGCAGCCGAGCACTGAGAGCTCCTTACCAGTGTCTGGGGCTTGCCCTCCACTGCTTGACAACCATGCAGGCCAAGAAAGGCCCTGGCAGGCCTGCAGCTGAGTGCCAACTAAGGAGCACTCCCTACTCGACGGTCGGCTGCAGGCCCGCGCACGTAAACCCAAAGCACACGGGCCTGCACGGTTGCCAAGCGGTAAAGGACAAGCCCTGGACAACTGGCAAGCTGCCAGTCCTGCACCAGTAATCTCTGATGGAGAGACCCCAGCACATTTCCTCTTCCCTCTATAACTATGTTGCTGAAAAGTAGGCTTGGGGCCGGTACCCACTCCCATCTGCCTTTCGTATCAAGTTTTTTTTCATTCCAAGAGAGGCCTACCCATTCTGTGCAATCCAAATGGACGTAACAAAATGAAAACACAAATTAAACGAGTGATACAGATACTGGGCCCATGACTACCAGGATCCCCAAGATCCATTTTTTAAAAATGTTTTGGCTCTAAATGTTCTTTAGGTAACTGGAGGGGTGGGGGAATAATGCCATGTTTGGGATCTTTTTTTCTAAAAAGAAATGAACTAGAAGTTGATTCCTGTTTCACTTCCTGTAATAAAAAGGCCTTCTGGTGCCTAAAATGATCACAGAAAAATGTTGCAAATTTCCCCCTTCTCTCAGAGGGTGATTTGGCCCACTGCAGCAGGGTACAGCTGTGGGGTAGGGCCCTCTAAAGTGCAACCCATTCACCACAGAGAGTTGGCTATCTCTTCCCTGCTTTTTTCCTACTCTTTCCCTTCATTTACTTTCCACATCCCTCAACATGGGAAAGGCCTCTGTTAAATTCTCAAATACTATTTCCATCAGGACTCAAAAGCAAAGTATTTACTATTTCCTCTGGGAGCTGTTCAGTTCCAACTCTGCCAACATGGGTTCTGAAATACCTACTGCTGTGATGCACATTTCACATTCTGAAGCAGAGCTTTGGCTCTCTCCCAAGGGGATGTTGTCTTGTTGTTTTTGTGTTTACCCATCTGGCGGCTCTGTCAGACATGAGAATAACATGCAGGAAGGAACTGTAGATTGTCAAATTCTTCTGCTCATAGTAGGTTTGGAACATGGGAAAGACGGTTGAGTACAGTTGCTGTCCCGATACCCAATGTGACTTGAACTCCTTTTTTCCTCCAGTTAGCATCAACTTTCATAGGTTTCACACTCATGCTTTCAGTTATTCACGAGTTTAAACCCACTGCCTCCTGAAGTTGGGGCTTGCATATGAAGATTCACATGGCAGCCCCATTTTCAGGAAGCTGTTTGAGAGGAATGCATGCCATTAATCTGTCTTCCGCCCAGTGTCCCTCTTTCTTTCAGAGGTGAAACAGACTCAAGGCACGCCGACAAAAAGAGGTACTGGCCCTGTGCCGCTTCTCTGTTCCCTCCTGTATCTCCCTTTTCTGGGCAAAACAGAGACTCGTGAAACGGGCAAGAGGAGAGGCTGACTCTGCCACTTCACTTATCCTGAAAACCCGACTTCTCTTCCTCTTCCTGTGTACCACAAATCTCTATTTCACTCGGGCAAAGGAAGAGGAGTACTCGGTAGACAGGAAGAGGAGGAGGAACCAGATCCACTGAGTAAGTGATGGCAGAGCCGAATTTCAGACAAATGAGGCCTGTGCTAGTTAAGTTATGAGGCCCATTACTTGGGCCCTGAAGCAGGTAAGCCCAGTAGGCCTACACTGCCTGCTTTGTGGCACACTCCTATACACTATCAACTTTATCATTATGTCTGGAATCCCTCCAAAACAGAACGCCTTCAAATTTAGAGTTGCTCCACATAAGCAAAATCCATTGTTAATTTTTTTATCGGGGAGTGTTCTTAAACACACCTAAGCACAATGGTAAATCTGGCACTGAGTGACGGTATGTTTGTTGCATGTCTCTGTTCTGCCCGATTTCTTACTTCCTTTTCCAAATGGAACAAAGATTCATTGCACACAGGCAAGAGGAAGAACTGGCCCCAAACTGCTTCACTGGTTGAGTGGTGCTCAACCTCTGAGTCCCCAGGTGTTTGGGCCTACAACTCCCAGAAATCCCAGCCAGTTTACCAGCTGTTAGGATTTTTAGGAGTTAAATGCCAAAACATCTGGGAAACCACGGATTGAGAACCACTGACACTGTGGATCTGACTCTTCTTCCTGTGTTCTGTCAATCACTATTCCATCTGGGCAAAGGAAGACGTACCAAGGGAACAAGAACATAAGAAAAGGAGGAGAACTAGATCTGCAGAGTAACTTGAACTGTATTCCCTTCACACAGTGGATATAGTCTCAGTTTTTCCACTTTTGTGGGAAAGCTGTGCTCCTAGCCCTACGAAGGTAAAGGGACTAATGCAGATCTAGTTCTGATCTTCGACAAACCATTTTGGGCTCAGCTGAGAACAGCACTGGGGGAGGAGCTAGGATCTAAACATTTCACTGGTATTCTATCACATGACTTTTGGCTTCCCTGAGTGCTGAAGGCCAGCAATCCAATGCTAGATGTCTTCTTCTTCATGGACTTCCATAGTAAGTATCCCCTGCTCCAGTCACTTAAATGCATATAATAATACAAATAGAGTTATTTTCTCTTAACCTTAGCATATCGTCGCCCACCAAGCTTATGAGTCACAGATCTCTTCAATGGCAAAAAATATGGCCAAACTGGAAGAAAGCCTCAGGCATGAAAAAGAAGAAAAGGCTTCAATGACTGTTGATGTTACTTCCGTTAGAGATTTATGTGTTAAACTGGAGTCTGGCAAAGACCTTCTTTCACGTCAGCTAGCATCTAAATCCGTGGATCTTGAGAGGGTAAGAGAAGAAGAATTTGCACCTCCATTCATCATAACAAATTGTTCTCCTGACAAAGTTGGCAAATTTTTAACATCAAAATATAAAGTTTGTGATTGGAATTTTCTTTGGACTTTATGTATTTATTTAAAACATTTATAGTCCACCCTTCTCACCCCGAAGGGGACTCAGGATATATATGGCAAGCATTCCATGCCGGAACATAAAATAACTATAAATATACACAAACACTAAAAACAGTTAGATCTACTTTAAATCAGTTATTTAAACCCATCTCAAAACACTATGCTGGGTGGGTTTACTATTATTGCCTCATTGCACTGCCCCAAAGGCTTGGTCCCACAGCCAGGTTTTTACCATCTTTCTCAAGGATAGGAGGGAGGGGGCTGATACATTCTCTGCAAGAAGGGAGTTCCATAGCCAGTGGGAAATCCCTGAGAAGGCCCTCTCTCCCCCTGCCAAACGTACCTGTGATGGTGGCAAGACTGAGAACAGGGCCTTCCCATAAGATCTTATTCTTCGCCGTGGTTTGTAAATGGGTAGGAAAACTAGGCAGGGGCCGCTTAGGGCTATGTAAGCCAAAGCCAGCACTTTGAATTGTGCCTACTAGCAAACAAACAGCCAGTGGAGCTGACATAACATGCTCCCTGTATCTTGAGTAGAAGGATAGTGAAAGTGTAGGCTGCATGTGGTCCCTAACACCATTTCTGTGCCCCTAGGAAATGAAATTTGGAAATGAAATTGTCTCCATATGTCTAAGTGGGGAAGGGGAGAGACCCTCCTAGAGATGGGAAAGCTTTGGGAAAAAATAGAAAAATTGGGGAAAAAACAACTTTTTCCCAATTTTTCCGCCCCCACCCCCATTTTTCCATTCTTTTCTGTGTTCCTCCAATTTTTCCATTTTTCCCCCAGACCTTCCCATCTCTAGACCCTTCATGTTCCTAGTGGGGTAATGAAGCCCGTAAACAGTTGTCCACCTGTACTCTAGCAGAACATTTTCCAGTACTATATAAGCAGTGGCGCAGCAGGTTAAACCGCTAAGCTGCAGAACTTGCTGACCGGAAGGTTGACGGTTAGGATCTGCGGGACTAGTTAGCCCCAGCTTCTGCTAACCTAGCAGTTCAAAAACATGCAGATACGAGTAGACCAATAGGTACTGTTTTGGCGGGAAGGTAACGGCACTCCATGCAGTCATGCTGGCCACGTGACCTTGGAGGCATCTCCATACAACGCCAGCTTCTTCGGCTTAGTTCCCAAAGTTGGACTCTGTCATTGACTTAATGTCAATGGGAAACCTTTATCTTTTATCCATATGCAACACTTGCTTAACAGCATGGCAGCTGGCAGACAATACCAGGATGACAGTCAACCTCCAAAGTAGCCACTGGTTTTCTCCAGTAATTCTTCGGAAAAGCTATAATCTGCTTGACTTTTAATGCTTTATGTGTCGCTTATTTCCTGTAACTCTTCTTGTATCAACCATGCAATAAACTAAGGAAAACAAAGGAAGGAGTATTCTCTTCAGGAAAAAAAAACAGATATCACATGACTCCTGAGTAACTTCTAAGACAACTCATTCTTTGTGAATATTCCCTCTACATCTTCAAAAAATGAATATCCCCATTGTGCCATTGTACTTTTTCATAATTATGGATTTCAAGCTAAGAGTGGTTTGCCTAGATGTAAATGCCTACCCAGGCCAATCTATAACTTCCAAAAACATTCAAATATGACTGAATCACACTTCAGAAAAATAAACAAGTGTATGCATCATACCTGTTAAACATTGATATGTGTTGAAAGAATATTTATGGCAGTTTATATACAGTATTTGAAATATTAATTGGAAAAAAATCTGTTTATGCTTTAGATTTTGTCAGAATTAGAAGATGCGAAGACAGAGGCAGAACTCTTAAAAAAGCAGCTGTCCAGTGAGCGACTTACAATTCAAAACCTTGAAACACTCTTGGCAACCAGCAGAGACAAGGATTTTCAAAATCATTTGATAACTCATGAAAAGGATTCAGAAATACAGCTACTCAAAGACAAGTTAACCCTCTCAGAGAGTAAACTGTATGTTGTAAACACTATAAAATTTAAATTCTTGTTTAGTGAATTTAATAATTTTTGAAAAACTTCTCATGTGTAAAAAAAATCCTCCTGGTGAAAATCCATCAGTCTGAACTGAATAACATCAGGATTTATTATTGGAAATAATAAATGCCAATTATTTTGTCTTTTACATAGGAATGTTGCTTTGAAGCTAACATTCAAAGGTGAAATATGAAAGGAACTGAATTAATGCCATTAGGAAATTTATTAAGGCCCAACTTTGGCTTAATTTTTTCCCAAGTATGCCTCCACCAGCTAGAATGACTTGTTAGTCATTTTCTGCTGCAGTTTGAAGAAATTGTTTTGATTTTATAGAATTATTGTTATTTGTGTGTGTGTGTGTTTACATCTATACTTGTTTCTTTGTTCTTATCAGGCAATTTTTAAAGTTCTGTAAGGTACCCTGTTAAATATGTAATTCCTAAGATTTTTCTTTGTTTGCCATTATTTTTAGAACAAGTCTTAATAGAGAGGTTTCTATACTCCGAAACAAACTTGCACAGCTGCAGACTGATTATGACATTATAAAAAGACAACTAACAACAGAACGATTTGAACGGTAAGTAAAATAACTAAAATAACATTTGTGAATGCAATGGCAGTAAACACTACAATTTTTCAATAAGCAGGAAGAACGGGTGGATTTTGAAACCTTAAAAGTGTTGAGTAAATGCAGCAAGTTGTATATGACTTGGAAGAGAATTTGAAGAAGAAGAAGAAGATGTTTGTTTATATTCCGCTTTTTCTCTCCACAAGGAGACTGGAGATTGAAATTTTAAATGGCCCTATTTCTAGTTTCCACTAACTGTGCCTAGTGAAGATACAGTGAAATAGGGCTTCTGAAACTTCTCTTTAAATATAGGAAGATTCATACATACATGGGCAATCTTCACACAACCTTCATTCAAATAACTTAAGGCCAAAACTTATTGCTTTGAATCGGTATGAATTTGATAAAACAGGATGAGCGTCATGTGACCTGAATGTCTAAGCCAGTGGTTCACAACCTGGGGTCCCCAGATGTTTTTGGCCTCCAGCTCCCAGAAATCCTAACAGCTGGTCAACTGGCTGGGATTTCTGTGAGTTGTAGGCCAAAAACATCTAGGGACCCCAGGTTGAGAACCACTGGTTTAAGCCAAAGCTAGGGAACCTATACCGCCCCCTCGAAGTTATTTCCCCAACATTCTCATGAACCTGGGATGTCAGATTCGGCCATGGTCATCCACGCTCTTGTTACATCCTGAATATACTACTGCAGCTCTACATGGGGTTGCCTTTGAAGACTGTTCGGAATGAAGGTTGGATAAGCAAGACTCTATTTTATTTTTGGAATGTAATTGCTAAGAATTGGGTCCTTTTTTGAAATGCTTAATAAATGTGCAAGTTGAATTGAAGTTGTTGTAGAAAATTGTGACTGTGGCAGAGAAAATATTTGGTTTTACAATTCCATGTTTTTTATTCATCTCATTTTTTCTGTACAGCAATTATGTACAAGAACAGTGCTTTTTGTTCTTGTTTTGCAAGATAGACAGAGACATTGAATGTGTAGGAAGGCATAGTGGCCAACCTATTTATGGTGTGGAAAGATGTGTGCAGATACCCGCAAATTCCAATTCTTTCTTTTTTGTAGTGAACGTGCCATTCAAGAGATGCGTCGACATGGCCTCTCTACAACTTCTTTGCGTGCCTCATCCCCACTTAGCTCAACATTGAGATCTCCTTCACATTCTCCAGAGAGATCCGTTACGGCAACATCAGAAGGAATGAGCAAGTATGTAATTATATAGATTGTTTACTTTTTTTAGACTTTTTACTAATTTGCATGGTAGGATCACATTTACATTCAGTACTTTTCCAGGAATTTTCATTGTAGATTAGTACTATAATAAAAAATTTGCTCTGAGTTAACTCTGTTTTTAAGAAAGATCAGGTTTCAACAGTATGCCTTCTCATGCACTCCAGCCATTTTTGGATACAAGGAGCTGCAGTGGCATTCCTGTAATTTAGAATAACTAAAATTATTTTTAAAAACTGCTAGATATAATAGAATATAATAGACTGATAGAATAAAGCCTTGGAATACTGAAATTAGATTCTAAAGAATGTGATAGTTTTCTCTATGTAATTGTTTTATTTTTTTATTCTCAGAAATTTGGACTTCAAGGATTAATCAATTAATTTGAAATGCAACCAATAAAGAAAGATTTGATATATTAGGCTCTTAGTTTACTGCTTCAATAGTGTTAAACTACTAACACCTAATGCAAACTGAAACAACATTAGAGTATTTTAGGAAAGCTAATATGTAATCAACTTTTGCAGCATTCTGACATCACACTTGAACTAAGATTATTTTAGACTTTATTTGATGCATCAAAATCTGTGCTGATTGTGAGGTCACCAATTGGTGTGTGCAATCTGACTTGTTTAAATCTGAATTAGAAAGTCAAATGGCTACTTTTTACAGCAAAACTCGGATAAAAGGAACATATGGAGTCTTAAACGCATAACTTATTTGTGGACCTTTTGATTATTCTTTGGTCTTTGCTTCTAATAAATTCAGTTTTAACATGCATTAGATTCAATAAAGCCTTAAATATTAACAAACGAGTAATACGACTGCAGGCAGTCCCCAAGCTACAAACAAGATAGGTTTTGTAGGTTTGTTCTTAAGCTGAATTTGTATGTAAGTCGGAACAGATACATTTTAAAGTGTAACTCCAGTAATATATATTTTGCTGTCTGTGCCCCTATTCATAAGATTTCACCTCACTTTCTGTCCATGTGATAATTGGATTTTGGAAAAAAAAATGGCTTCTTGTGGAAACAAGGATTGGGGATAAAGCTTCAATGGAAACCTCTTTTCCTCATGATAATCCTTACAGAAGTGAATTTCCCTTCCTAGGAGTAGATTTCTCTCAACGTCCTATTGCAGAGCTCCTCAAACTAAGGCCCGGAGGCCGAATACGGCCCTCCAAGGTCATTTACCTGGCCCTCACTCAGTGTCTACCTAAGTCTGAAATAACTTGAAAGCACACAACAACAACAATTCTATCTCATCAGCCAAAAGCAGGTCCACACTTCCCATTGAAATACTAATGAGTTTATATTTGGTAAAATTTTTCTTCATTTTAATTAGTGTATTGTTTTAAAGTGATTTTTGCACTATAAATAAGATATGTGCAGTGTGCATAGGAATTCATTCATGTTTTTTGTGAATTATAATCTGGCCCTCCAACAGTTTGAGGGACTGTGACCTGGCCCTCTGTTTAAAAAGTTTGTGGACCCCTGTCCTATTGTTTCACCCCCATTCTTAACTACAGTCATTTGCAAGTCAGGTGTTTGTAACTCGAGGACTGCCTGTGTTTAGAATACACTGCTATTTTATCTTTAAAATGAAGACTTAGTCTTACCTTCAAAAATAAGTCAGTGTTCTCTAAATTGCTTTCTGTTGGCTCTTATTAAAGAATATTTAACAGGTTCTTAAGATGTACACTAAATTATCATGTATATATTATAATATGATTATATATCTGTTGCTCTTTAAAGTGATCTGGCAACATTATTCTTTTTTTTAAAGACCAGAAATAAGGATTGAGAAAATTGCACATCTGAGCTCCAGTTTCTAAAGGCATAAAGCAAGGCAGGTTAGAATAGTAAAGTTAATAGGTAAGTGAAGCAAGGTTGAATTGTATTCAAGAAGAGTTGTAATCTTTTCATTGATGTTGTAATATCATACTGAAATAGTATGTTCTGGGGTATCTTCCTTGGTAGACCCAACTTCATACCATTTTGATTCTCTTACCAATAAGTAACCGTTTCTGAATCTAGAAGAGTATATTCAATGTAGAGTAACTTTTTCTCACAGGTTTCTTTTTATTATTGTGTTGTCAAAGGCTTTCACGGCTGGAATCACCGGGTTGCTGTGAGTTTTCCAGGCTGAATGACCATGATTCAGAAGAATTCTCTCCTGATGTTTCACCCACATCTATGGCAGGCAGCCTCAGAGGCTGTGAGGTCTGTTGGAAACTACGCAAGTGAGGTTTATATATCTGTGAGATGTCCAGGGTGGGAGAAAGGACTCTTGTCTGCTTGAGGCAGAGAATAGGCCACCTTGATTAGCATTAAATGGCTTTGCAACTTCAAAGACTGTCAGTTTCCTGCTTGGGGCAATAATAATAATAATAATAATAATAATAATAATAATAATACTTTATTTATATACCACCATATCTCCCTGAAGGGACTCAGGGTAATTTACAGACAAGAATAACAAAGTGGCAAACATTCATTGCCAAAACGAATAAACATCAAACAACATTAAATCAACTGGAGCCGCCAAGGCCTGGTAGAGGGTAATGGCGAGACCCTCCTGGGCCTGTTGCTGCTGTGCCAGCCTTGAGGGTGATGGCAAGGCCCTCCTGGGCCTGTTGGTGCCGTGCCAGCCTTGAGGAGGGCAATGGCGAGGCGAGGAATCCTTTGTTGGGAGGTGTTAGCTGGCCCTGATTGTTTTATATCAGGAATTCTGCTGTTGTTTGAGTATTCCTCTTTATTTACTGTCCTGATTTTAGTGTTTTTTTAATACTGATAGCCAGATTTTGTTCATTTTCATGGTTTTTTCCTTTCTGTTGAAATTGTCCACATGCTTATGGATTTCATTGGCTTCTTGGTGTAGTCCGACATAGTGGTTGTTAGAGTGGTCCAGCATTTCTGTGTTCTCAATATGATATGTCCAGGTTCGTTCATCAGGTGCTCGCTATGGCTGACTTCTCTGGTGGAATTAGTCTGCAGTGCCTTTCATGTTCCTTGATTCATGTGTGGACACTGTGTTTGGTGGTCCCTATGTAGACTTGTACACAGCTGCATGGCATAAGGTAGACTCCTGCAGAGGTGAGAGTATCCCTCTTGTCCTTTGCTGAATGTAGCAAACAACAGGGGAATTCCTGACATGAAACAGTCAGGGCCAGCTAACACCTCCCAACAAATTATTCCACCGGGCAGGTATCAGCCAGTCTTTGAAGCTGAAACACCATTCAGTGGTAATCAAAGTGGCCAATTGCAACATTCACACTTACCTCAAGCAGACAAGAGTTCTTTCTCCCACCCTGGACATTCCAAAGATATATAAACCCCACTTGCGTGGTTTCCAACAGACCTCACAACCACTGAGGCTGCCTGCCATAGATGAGGGTGAAACGTCAGGAGAGAATGCTTCTAGAACATGGCCATACAGCCTGGAAAACTCATAGCAACCCAGTTTCATGATTGTGTTTTCATGTTTGTTTTTTAAAAGATAGGAATTAAAATATTAGATAAAATCCAGGGTTACAGTTCAGGCATCTCCGTGTGGAAAGGAGATGCCCCAGTATATGTCAGGAGAGACATCCAATTTAAGATGTCTCTCCAGTATACTAATGCTTTGTATTTTTCTGCTATACTACATGTACTTGATGATATGAAATAAATAACAATTGTATATTTACTAGATGAAGAACCTTCCGTCCAATCTATTTACTTTTAAAGAAGAGGTCTGCAATTTCCATTAAAGGCACCTAGAAGAACAGACAGTGACGTGCAACAGAGGAAGCGGGTCCAAATCCTCAATTTGCTCTATGTAAAATACTTCTCTTAAAATTATTGGAAACATGTTTTAATAAATAAAAAGTAGATACACTGGAACATTATTCTTTATTTAAAGTGTCTGAAATTGCAAGTAATAAAACAGAAAAACTCAAACTGAGCACTGATCATGGTTCAGAAGGTAAAGATAAAATAAAAACGTGTTTTTTTTTAAAAAAAAAATAAAGCAAATAAGAGGGGACTCAACAGGGGAAAAAACCCACAGAAATTGCCAAAAATCACCTTGGTCCACCATGTTGAGACATGGTGTGCTGTAACAAGAAACAATGCTGATTTTTATTGTTTTAGGAGCAGCCGAAACTCAGAAGTGTGTTTTGAAGGACAGGTGTAAATATGGAAGCACAAGAATAGCACGAGAGAATGGGTAGTCACACTTCCTAACTTATTTAAGCAACATCCTGAATGTGAACAGTGGAGAATGATACATATCATCTTTAGTCACATGTGTTTATGGTTCAAAACAATATTCATGTACAAGATCTAATTAGAAAGTTAGTAGGGAGTTTGAAAACATGGATTGATGTATTCCTCCACCCTTATTAATGGAAAGCAATTCTCTAAATTAAAACAATGAATTTGCATAATCACATGAGTTTATTGGATGAGCAATATTTAAATCTATTAACAATTGAATCTCAAAAACTGAATAGTGCAGTTAGTTTGGGAATAGGGCAGTACAGCCTAACATGGACAACAAAGTTAAAACTAAATAACGTAATCACAAGGAAGAAATTGTAACAGGAAAGTCAGGAGTTAGGAAGGAAACTACACGGGGGAAATTTCGTTCCAAATCCAAGCATTTACAGAGAAATAACATACCATCTAATTCAGAGGAGGAAAATAATTCAGGAATGTCTGAGGGGGAAAAACTTTAAGCAGAATCTATATAAATAAAATGTAATGTTCGCTTGTGGGATGAACATAACTCAAAAATCACTGGACGAATTGACACCAAATTTGGACACAATGCACCTACTAACCCAAGGAGTGGCCATCACTCAAAAAATTGATTTTGTCATTTGGGAATTGTAGTTGTTGGGATTTATAGTTCACCTACAATCGGCATTCTGAACTACACCAATCATGGAAATGAACCAAACATGGACTCCCATGACCAAGAGAAAACACTAGAAGGGTTTGGTGGGCATTGACCTTAAGTTTGGGAGTTGTAGTTCGCTTACATCCAGAGAGCACTGTGAACTCAATGATGGATTTGGACCAAACTTGGCATGAATATTCCATATGTCAAAATATGAACACGGAGTTTGGGGGAAAATAGACTTTGACATTTGGGAGTTGTAGTTACTGGGATTTATAGTTCACCTACAATCAAAGAGCATTCTGAACCCCACCAATAACAGAATTGGAGGAAAATTCCCACACAGAACCTCCATACTGAAGGCCACCCAGTCCAACTTCCTTCACCAGGCCAAGAAAACATAATCAGAGCCCTCCTGACAAAGAGCCATCCAGCCATAGATATAGATAGATATGATCTACACACAGATATAGTATCATAGATTTGAAAGGGACCCCTCAAGAAGGACAATTATATTTTGCACTTTCCAGAGTAGGGAACAGACAATCTCCACATCAACACTGACAAAGAAACAACAAGAAATACTGTTAACCCACAAGCAGAAAGAAATTACATATATTAGAAACCAACACTTTGTTTATTTTCCAGATCACCAGACTGGACCACAGCAATGCGTGGCAGGAGATGGCTAGTATTTAATATAGAACATTTTTAAAAGAGTTGCAGACTTTAGATTTGAGGAATAGTTAGGAAGATGGAGGGACAGTAGACAAACAACAGTAATGAAGAAACAGAATCAAAAGGTGCTGAGACATGTTTAAGGCGTTAATTGATCTAGAATGGGAATCTCCTTTACATACAGCAACAATGCCAAAGTATAGTGATGTGTAAGAAGAACATGGAATATCTAAAGATCCCATTGGTTGATGAGTTAATATCTGCTCTGATGTCTCATTCTATAATCCCTTAAGCAGAAGACACAGCTCTTAGAGCTTTGGGAGAGCAATTGCCAGTCGCCTCGTGTTCTTTCACATGACGCCTGAACACTGACAATTCAGTATTTAATTACTGCTATGTTTGCAAGAATGGCAGTATTATGGGATCGAGAAATTCTAGAGGTTCAATATATTAGCATGCAGTCCTTGTTGAAAGCAGTGGAAAGAATTCAGAAAGTGTTGCAATTGCTGATACAGAATATGATGCTGCAGTATTTGCAGCTATAAATATAGGTAATGACTATGGCAAGGAGATTGCTCTAGCTTCGGCAGTGGAAGGCTGACGAAAAGTCAACAACAAATCTGGGATTTACAGGACAGCCTGTATTTGGAAGACATTATAAAAAGGCTTAGTATCAAGTAAGAACCAAAAACAGGTTATGCCTTCTCTACAGAAGAGAAGACCAGAGTGGAAACAATTCAGGAATAATTACTACTCCTTTCCATTTCACAAATTTGTCTCATATATCCAGTCAATTCATCTCATCAGTCTAATCACTGATCTCATTAATCCGATCTCTTCAAACCGTCTGTGGAATTTTGTGACAGTTGTTTATCATCCTGCTCTTTGCTTCTCCTTTCCATTTTCCCCATACAGGTTCTGTAGCTACAATTTATTTATTTATTCATTTATTTCGGGCATTTCTACCCCGCCCTTCTCACCCCCTAGGGGGGGCTCAGGGCAGCTTACATCCGGCACAATTCGATGCCAACAATTACAATAAAAAATGCAATAACAATAAACACAAGAGTTAAAACATACAATTAATACAATATCAACTAAAAACCGCTCTATAGCCTGCGTTCATCGAGTTCTAAAATCCGTCATTCCATTTAGCATTACCATAGTCCTTTCCAACTCTAGTCATCATTACCTTGTTAATCTGCCAGATTACCCAAATGCCTGGTCCCATATCCATGTCTTCAGCTTTCTTCTGAAGGAGAGGAGGGATGTTGACGACCTGATTTCCCCGGGGAGTGAATTCCACAGGCGAGGGGCCACCACTGAGAAGGCCCTGTCCCTCGTCCCCACCAGCCTCACTTGTGATAAAGGTGGGGCCGAGAGCAGGGCCTCCCCAGAAGATCTTAAACTCCGTTGTGGGACATAGAAGGAGATACGTTCGGACAGGTACGCTGGGCCGGTGCCATATAGGGTTTTATAGGTCAAAACCAGCACTTTGAATTGTGCTCGGAACTGGATCGGCAGCCAGTGGAGCTGATGTAGCAGAGGAGTGGTGTGCTCCCTGTATGATGCTCCGGTGATTAATCTGGCTGCCGCCCGTTGGATTAGTTGAAGTTTCCGAACAGTCTTCAAAGGCAACCCCACGTAGAGTGCGTTGCAGTAATCTATTTGGGATGTACAATCTAGCTATTTTTATTTATCTTTGTTGTTTTCTCTACCAACAAAGGATCTGGTCCATCAACTTGATTAACAGAGCTAATCTGGCTTCCCTAGTTGGCCAATGTAGGACTTTGCTGATGACGTTGACTGCTTGGACATTGAGGCCCCTTCTACACTGCCATATAAAATCCAGATTATCTGTTTTGAACTGGATTATCTGGCAGTGTAGACTCATAATACAGTTCAAAGTGGAATGTGTGGATTATTTGCTTTGATAATCTGAATTATATGGCAGTGTAGAAGGGGCCTGAGAGATGTTTGAGTCAGCATGGTTAGTGGTTGAAACTATACTGGCATCTAGGAAAGTTTCTGTGCAAACAATATATGATAGAATGTGGAAAGAATTTGTGAAATGTTGTCAAGCAAATGAAATGGATATTACTGCAATCAGACATCTAGGAGTTTCTGCAAGAAAGCATCTTGATCTGGCCACTATGGTCCACGCTCTTGTTACATCCCAAATAGATTACTGCAATGTGCTCTACATGAGATTGCCTTTGAAGACTGCTCAGAAACTCCAACTAGTCCAACGAGCAACAGCTAGACTACTCACTGGAGCATCATACAAGGAGCATACCACCCCTCTGTTATGTCAGCTCCACTGGCAGCCTGTCCAATTCCGAGCACAATTCAAAGTGCTGGTCTTGACCTATAAAGCCCTATACGGTTCCGGCTCAGCATACCTGTCTGAATGTATCTCCCTCTACGTCCCACCTCAGAGTTTAAGATCTTCTGCGGAGGCCCTACTCTCGATCCCGCCACTGGTGCAAACACGCTTGGTGGGGACGAGGGATAGAGCCTTCTCAGTGGTGGCCCCCCGCCTGTGGAACCCGCTCCCCAGCAAAATTAGGTCAACTACATCCCTCCTTTCCTTCAGAAAGGAATTGAAAACATTGTTGTGGGACCAGGCTTTTGGATAGCAGGCTGACAATGACGATGATAATGCTATGGAAAATGGACTAAGGACAGGCTTCTGATTGTGTTGTTGGTCGCAGAATTCGGTTCTAGATAAGGCTAACCAGCCAGTAGTATTTTTAAATGGATTTAATTTTAAACTAATTTACTTATAGTAATTACTGTATTTATTATTTTGTATGTAGGGCATCGAATTGTTGCCAGCTGTAAGCCACCCTGAGTCCCCCTGTGGGGTTGAGAAGGGTGGGGTACAAATATCTGAAATAAATAAATAATAAATATTTTTTTTTGGGGCTGGAACCAAGGATGTTGGGGGAGCCAGGAAAGAGAGGACATAAGTGTAAAGGGGCAACTCTAGCTATTGATGGGTGTTCTGGCGGAGATCAATGGGGCAACCATGACCTTAAAGAGTGTGGTTATTTTATTTTATCGTGTCATCAGCAACCAGACATTTGTATTACATTTTTAACAAAAACATGACATAAAAAACAGACAAAACACAGAATTTGCAAGCTTGGTAGTTGATTAAATATCCTTTGATCAGTATCTGGCCACTTGGAGTGCTTCTGGTGTTGCCGCAAGAAGGTCCTCCATTGTGCATGTAGCAGGGCTCAGGCTGCATTGCAGCAGGTGGCCTGTGGTTTGCTCTTCTCCACACTCGCATGTCGAGGATTCCACTTTGTAGCCCCATTTCTTAAGGTTGGCTGTGCATCTCGTGGTGCCAGAGCACAGTCTGTTCAGCGCCTTCCAAGTCGCCCAGTTTCTGTGTGCCCAGGAGGGAGTCTCTCATTTGGTATCAGCCATTGATTGAGGTTCTGGGTTTGAGCCTGCCACTTTTGGACTCTCGCTTGCTGAGGTGTTCCAGCGAGGGTCTCTGTAGATCTTAGAAAACTATTTCTTGATTTAAGTCATTGACGTGCTGGCTGATACCCAAACAGGGGATGAGCTGGAGATGTCACTGCCTTGGTCCTTTCACTATTGGCTGCTTCTTCCCGGCAGTTGTCAGGTGGTGCAATGCTGGCTAAACAGTATAATTTTCCAGTGGCGAAGGGTGCAGATACCCTGTAATAATGTGGCATGTCTCCTTTAGAGCCACATCCACTGTTTTAGCGTGATGAGATGTGTTCCACACTGGGCATGCGTACTCAGCAGCAGAGTAGCAAAGGGCAAGGGCAGATGTCTTCACTGTATCTGGTTGTGATCCCCAGGTTGTGCCAGTCAGCTTTCGTATGATATTGTTTCTAGCACCCACTTTTTGCTTGATGTTCAGGCAGTGCTTCTTGTAGGTAAGAGCACGGTCCAGAGTGACTCCCAGGTATTTGGGTGCGCTGCAATGCTCCAGTGGGATTCCTTCCCAGGTGATCTTCAGAGCTCGGGATGCTTCTCTGTTCTTGAGATGAAAGGCACATGTCTGTGTTTTAGATGGGTTGGGGATCAGCAGGTTTTCCCTGTAATAGGCAGTAAGAGCACCTAGAGATTTGGAAGCTTCTGTTCTACCATCTCAAAGCTCCCTGCTTGAGCAGTAATGGCACGATCATCAGCATAGATGAAACTCTCTGTCCCTTCTGGCAGTGGCTGGTCATTTGTGTAGATGTTGAACATGGATGGAGCAAGCACGCTCCCCTGAGGCAGGCTGTTCTTCTGTTTCTGCCATCTGCTTCTCTGGCCCTGGAACTCAACAAAAAAGCTCCTGTTTTGTAGCAGGTTTCCTATGAGGCGGGTGAGGTGGTAGTCCTTTGTGATATTATACATTTTTCTCAGGAGGAGGCGGTGGTTCACAGTATCATAGGCTGCTGACAGGTCTATGAAGACAGCTCCTGTGATCTGCTGCCTTTCAAAGCCATCTTCTATGTGCTGAGTCAGGTTCAACACTTGCGATGTGCAGCTTTTGCCTTTCCTGAAGCCAGCTTGCTGTGGGATCAGACATGGGTCTATTTTTTCTGTAATTCTATGCAAAATAAGTCTCTCCAGAACTTTGTAGAGGTGGCACAACAGGGAGATTGGTCTGTAGCTTTTTGGGTCATTACGGTCTTTGCCTGGCTTCAAGATGGCGATGACTCTTGCTTTCCTCCAGATTTTGGGGATCTGACAGGATGCAGTGCAGTTGTTCATCAGCTCCAGCAGCCAGCGCCTTGCTTTTGGGCCAAAGTTCTTGATTTGTTCCATCCGTAGATCATCCAGGCCAGCTGCTTTGCCATTTTTACATTTATTGAGAGCCATGTCCAATTCAGTAGATGTAAAGGGTTCATGGAGGTTGTTGTTCTCAGTCTCTGGTTATCTGGCTATTGGTTTCTTTCCTACTTTGGTGGCAAAGTTGGGTTTCCCATTCTTCAGGAGTTGGTGTGCTATCTGGTCTGCCTTTATGTTGGCATGGGTATTAGTCTGTGAGGGGTCGTTGCTCAACCAGCAGCCTCCACGCTGCCAGGTATTTGGCTCCCAGGTATTTGGGTGTGCTGCAATGGTGCTTTTAAATGCTTCACACGCCACACTCTTTCTGGTCCAGAAGCGACCAGAAAGAGTGTGGTGTGTGGAGCATGTAAAAGTGTCACAAGTCCTGAGGAGGTAATGGCATGAGGGCGCCCTTTCTCTTTCCTCTCCCAAGCCAGCCAGCCAGCAAGCCACGCCTCTCTCCTCACCGCCAAGGAGCTGCCAGGCTTAGGAGTTGGCGAACATAGTCATAATAATAACAACAATAACAACAACACAAAGCCAGAGCGAGGACGACCCAGAGCGAGGCTGCTCCCTCCTCTGCTTTCGCCATTGGAGGCGGCGGGCAATGACGAGGGCCGGCGAGGAGGCTGCGTGGCGCGAGGGAGGCGAGCCCGACCCCGTTCCCTCATTCTCGCGCCTCAGAGACACCTTCCAGGAGACAGAGAGAGAGAGAGAGGTAGGAGGACCCCTTTGTTGTGTGCCTGTCTCGCCTCAGGGCAGGGAGGAGGGGAGGAGGAGGGCTTTGGGGGGTCCCCCGCCCCATGTCTGCTTCCCTTGCAGAAGGTGACCCTCCTCTCAGAAGTCCCACTGATGCTTGGGCATCAATGAAGGGGGCAGGCAGGCAAAGGAAGGGAGGGAAAGGAGAGCCACCATCACAGTGGCATTAAAGCCAGGGCTTCTCTTGGCACTGGGTTCAGAGAGAGCCTTTGGAGTGTGTGTATGTATCTCCATTTATGTATGTATGTGGGTATCTCCATTTATATATGGGTGTGTGTGTATATACATATGGCTTGGGGTGTGTGTATCATATATATATGGCATGACATGACTTGGGGTGTGTATATGTATCAATTTTTATATATGTATGTGTGTGTATATATTATATCTAGACATGTTTGGGCTGTGTGTGTGTGTGTGTATATATATATATCCATATCTATCCATATATATATATGAGAGAGACTTGGTGTGTGTGTGTGTTTATGTGTGTCTGTCTATATATAATATATACACACCTCCAAGTCTCTCTCTCTCATATATATATGTGTGTGTGTGTGTGTGCGTGTGTATGGCTATATATATATGTGTGTGTGTGTGTATGTGTGTATATATATATATATATATATATATATATATATATATATACACATCACACACACACACACACACACACATACATACACACACACTAGCCCAACATGCTACCTTAATGGACTGTGGGTGTGCTCGGTGGTGTATAATATATTAAGGTAATGATATAGTTTATTATATTATGATATAATAGGTGAATGGGGGGTGGTGGTGTATGAAATGTGAAAATTCTGGCAGAGACACAAAAATTCTCCCTCTCCACAAACCCACCACCCCACAAGATTCGCTAAAACAACAAAAGTATAGAAGGATAGTTAAGCAAACACAGGAACACAGACACACACATATCCAATGGGTGTGTGTGTGTGTATATGTGTGTGTGAGTGTGTATGTAATTAATTATATATACACACACATACCCACACTATACACACACACATATATAGTATATACACAGACACACATATATAACAGGGTGTGTATATATATATATATATGTATATGTGAGTGTGTATGTAATTATATATATACACATACACTATACACACACACACACACATATAACGGTGTGTGTATATATGTATATGTGTGTATGTAAATAATTATATATATATACACACACTATATACATATATATATATATATATATATAGTGTGTATATATAATTATTTACATACACACATATACATAAATATACATAGACACACACACACATATATAACTCTGTGTGTGTATATATATACACACATGCACACATAGACACATATACACATATGACTTGGGCTGTGTGTATATATACAACAGTATATGACTATATGTGTGAATTGGTGTATGTGTGAATGACTCTGTGTTTGTGTGTATTTATAGATAAGTGAATTGGTGTGTGTGTGTGTATATCTATATCTGACTTCATATTTATGTGAATTGGTGTTTGTATATATATTTAGAGAGATAGATGGATTTATATATAGGTGAATGTGTGTGTGTGTGTTTATATCTATATCTATATATACACAAACACACTGTATTTCTTCCATACCAAGATGCCCATGATTGTAAGACGCTCACTCATTTCAGTCTTGCCACCCACGAAAAAGGTTTGGCTTTCCGTCATGCTTTAATTTGGTTAGAGACGGAGAGAAAAGGGGTGACGCTTCTTCCTCCTTCCTCTCCTCATTTCAGAGCTGCATTGCTTTGTCTGCCCTTCTCAAAAAGCCATTTATCACAAGAGTCGGTCACCATATTTTAATGAGCTGTGAAATGTGCCAGTTGTCATGGTTGAAAGATGGTATAGTTTTCTGTGCATTTCTTCTTCCCCTGCTAACTCCCCCCCTCCCCCCTGTTGTATCAAGTGCATTGAAGGTTACACACTGCCATGAATGAGAAACTGGTTTTGACTTGTTTTTCATTAAAAGAAAAAAAAAATCTGCCATAGATATTCATTCATGAAATCAGATGGAGATAGATTATTCATTCCCAAAAATCTGCATAGGTAGGTCATTCATTTTAATGTGATTTGTTTATGTCTTTACTTCTGACATTGCTTCACTCTCACAAATAGCTAAATTAAGAGGAATACAACTGATGTAAAGAAAAGTGCAGATGCCTAGGAGAATTTTGCAAGGACTCTGGGATTTAGAGCATGATCCCTTTTCGCTGTTCAAGGGGTTAAAGGAAAACTAGAAACCACGACAGGCACATGTTGAAATTTTAATATGGTTAACAATAGCACTGCTGAAATTGAGCTGCTGGGAGACGGGAAGAGGTCAGTAGGGAGAAGGGAAAGTGTCGCTTCCATCCACAACAGTGAGTACTTGCAAAGCCGGCTATTCATTTGGGTTGCCTAGTCCCCACATATATGCTTTTTCCCCAAAGAGGGGCTTGTGAGATGTTTGCAATGCGTGTATTGAGGGATTTCATATGTGAATTGGAAATAATTGTAGAATAGTTCACTTTGTAAATCCAAATAGTATAGTAGGTAAAGGTAAAGGTTTTCCCCTGACATTAAGTCTAGTCGTGTCCGACTCCGGGGGCTGGTTCTCATCTCCAATTCTAAGCCGAAGAGCTGGTGTTGTCCATAGACACCTCCAAGGTCATGTGGTTGCATGGAGCACCACTACCCATCAAGAGCAGTATCTATTGATTTACTCAGATTTGCATGTTTTCGAACTGTTAGGTTGGCAGAAGCAGGGGCTAACAATGGGAGCTCACCCTGTCCCACGGATTTGAGCTGCTGACCTTCCAATCAGCAAGTTCTGCAGGTTAGCAGTTTAACGTGCTGTACCACCATGGTTGCTTGTACTATAAATAGTACAAAAGGTATCTATATACTATTAATATTGTATTGTCGAAGGCTTTAATGGCTGGAATCACTAGGTTCTTGTGGGTTTTTTCGGGCTATAGAGCCATGTTCTAGAGGCATTTCTCCTGACGTTTCGCCTGCATCTATGGCAAGCATCCTCAGAGGTAGTGAGGTCTGTTGGAATTAGGACAATGGGTTTATATATCTGTGGAATGGCTGGGGTGGGGCAAGGAGCTCTTCTCTGCTGGAGCTAGGTGTGAATGTTTCAGCTGATCACCTTCATTAGCATTTGAAGGCCTGTCTGAGCCTGGGAAAATCTCTTGCTGGGAGGTGTTAATCTGTGCCTGGTTGTTTCCTCTCTGTTGTTTTGCTGTTGTAATTTTAGAGTTTTTTTTAATACTGGTAGCCAGATTTTGTTCATTTTCATGGTCTCTTCCTTTCTGTTGAAATTGTCCACATGCTTGTGGATTTCAATGGCTTCTCTGTGTAGTCTGGTGGTTGATGGGAGCACCACTACCCATCAAGAGCAGTATCTATTGATTTACTCAGATTTGCATGTTTTCGAACTGCTAGGTTGGCAGAAGTTGGGGCTAACAATGGGAGCTCACCCTGTCCCACGGATTTGAGCTGCTGACCTTCCAATCAGCAAGTTCCGCAGCTTAGCAGTTTAACGTGCTGTACCACCATGGCCGCTTGTAATATAAATAGTACAAAATGTATCTATATACTATTTTTTAATTTAATTTTTTATTGTAATATACCTTGAAAAAAGAAAATAAAACGTCGAAAGAGTGAGAACAATTTTCAGATAGGAAAGTTAGGAAAAGGGAAAGAGCCGGGAAGTAGACACTGGTGGAAAATAATCATCATCATCATCATCATCATCATCATCATCATCTGCCAGCTGCAGAAGGCCACTTTACTGGGATCTGCACGCATTATTCGCCGATATATCACACAGTCCTAGATACTTGGGAAGTGTCCAACATGTGATCCAATACAAAAGCCAGTAGAGTGTCTGCTGTGGACTCATCTTGTGTTTCAGATAATAATAATAATAATAATAATAATAATAATAATAATAATAATACCCTAATCTAGGGATCTAAATAAGAGAAAACAGAACAAAGACAAGGACATTAGGGGAAAAAAGAAAAAAAAGTATATGTCCATAGACACTTTCAAGGTCATGTGGCTGCATGGAGCACCACTACCTTCCTGTCTAAACGGTACCTAATGATCTACTCACATTTGCATGTTTTCGAACTGCTAGGTTGGCAGAAGCTGGGCTAACAACAGGAACTCACCCTGTCCCACGGATTTGAGCTGCTGACCTTCCAATCAGCAAGTTCTGCAGCTTTGCAGTTTAACCTTCTGTACCACCATGGCTGCTTGTACTATAAATAGCACAAAATGTATCTATATACTATTTTAAAGTTAATTTTTATTGTAATATACCTTGAAAAAATAAAATAAAACATTGAAGGAGTGAGAACAATTTTCGGATAGGAAAGTTAGGAAAAGGGAAAGAGCCGGGAAGTAGACATTGGGAGAAAATAATAATGATAATAATAATAATAATAATAATAATAATAATAATAATAAACCCTAATCTCAGGAGCCAAATAAGAGAAAACAGAACAAAGACAAGGACATTAAGGAAAAAAATAAAAAAAAGTATGTGTCCATAGATACCTCCAAGGTCATGTGGCTGCATGGAGCACCCCTGCCTTCCTGTTGGAACGGTACCTATTGGTCTACTCACATCTGCATGTTTTCGAACTGCTAGGTTAGCAGAAGCTGGGGCTAACAACGGGAGCTCACCCTGTCCCATGGATTTGAGCTGCCGACCTTCCAGTCAGCAAGTTCTGCAGCTTGGCAGTTTAACCCGCTGTACCATCATGGCCTCTTGTACTATAAATAGTACAAAATGTATCTATACTATTAATATGATTTTTAGTCAACAAATCTTGCTGTGGTCATCTGCAAGGTCATGTGGCTGCATGGAGCACCACTACCTTCCCGTCAGAGCGGTACCTATTGATCTACTCACATTTGCATGTTTTTGAACTGCAATGTTGGCAGAAGCTGGGGCTAACAGTAGGAGCTCCTCCGCTTCCCAGATTCGAACCACCGACCTTTCGGTCAGCAAGTTCAGCAGCTCAGTGGTTTAACCCGGTGTGCCACCGGGGGCTCCAAAAATAGCATAGTAGTAAGAAAATAACAGGGGAGTTTTGTTATTGAATTGATAACATTTATTAATGTATCACTGTGCTCTAATACACATTTATTAGAACGAACTAAAATACTTACCTTTTTCTCAAACTGCCTTTATTATGTTAGTGACTGTAATGTATATCTCACCTTTGGGATCTCAAACTCTTCCCTAGTGACACCCAGGTAGCATCAAGAGACATTAAAAACATTACAAACGACACATACATTACATAAGAGAATCACTACATAAGAATTTGCCAGGACTTTCCAGAAGTCTTTGCCTACCTTCCTCTCTCCCCCACAATGGTGGCTGATGGCTATTGTTGCTGACTGGGTCAGAGTTTGGAAATAATCCACAACCTATGATTTTGGGCATAAGAAGGTCTCTAGTACTATTACTTTGGCACAACAACTTTCAAATATTTAGTAATGTTTATTTCCTCCTAAAGCATTTTCAATTATTTTGGAAAGGATGTGATTATTTTTGTAGTTCTAAATGCATTATGAATAGCACAGAGCATATACTATTAAATTACTCATGCAGCAACTTACCCTTCTCATAGCAAGTGGGGAGGAGTCTCTTTTGCATGTGCCACTATCTGAAGAGATTGAGTTGATAAAAGCAGAAAACAGGGATTTTGTTGTTGTTGCAGAACCTCGACTGTGGAACTCCTTCTCAAGAGGAGTCACACTTGCTCCAACCTTTATTTTAATCAAAATTGGAGGTTTTCTTATTGTAAAGAAGATTTTGTTTCTGTTCTGTTTATATATCGTGATTTTATTGTATGCTAGCTTGGGTATCCGGCGTTGGCCAGGTTATTTTAAATAGTTTTTTTAATTTTACCAAATGCATAAGGTTGTGGATTAATTAATTACAACTGACATCATGCCAGGTTAATGTCGAGAAACTCCATCACTACTTAAAGTTTGTTATGTTGGGTAAGTTTGCTCTAGATGCATCATAGGTGAGGTTCAGTGTGCTCTCTGGCTGTAGGGTAAAGTATAACTCCCACTATGGTAAGTCAGTCCCCTCAAACTCCTCCAGGTTCAGTTGGTCTTGAGGGTTTTGTGTGCCAAGTTTGGTCCAGGTCCATCATTGGTAGAAGTCATAATTTCTCTGGTTGTGGGTGAACTACAACTCCCAGAATAGAAAGTCAGTCGTCCCGTTCCCCCCCCCACCCCTCCAGTAATAAAATTTCAACATATCAGGTATGTGTGCCTAGTTTGGTCCAGATCCACTGGTGTTTGGGTTTTAGGACAGTGGAGATCCAGCCTCATATAATCCCTTTCAAAGCAGATAATCTGGATCAGATACTGGGATATAGGGCAATATAGATCCAGCCTAGGATTCCATACCAAAGATTTGGGAGTGCTTTTTACAGTACACCATTGTAGCACTATCATTCCACGTTAACTGGTATGACGATGTTCTGTGGAACATCTGTAGCCTTTTGGACAGAGAATTCTAAATATCCAACCCAGAAATCCAAATCTACCTTGGAATATAGTTGAGGCTCCTTCTCTTGAGGTTTTTAAACAGATGAATTGCTTTGATTGTATATTTCTATATGGCAGAAAGGGGTAGGGCTGGATGGCCCCAAGGGTTCCTTCTAACTATTATATTTGTTGCTAATTGTTGCAGTGTTGGTTTTCTCTTCTGTTTTGTGTTCAAAAACAAGTAAATAAACACAGATGGCGTGACTATAGCAGTCTTCGTATTGCTGCCTATATCCCAAGGTCATCTTCTGCTGTTGTCCTTCACACCCTGCAAGCTGATTACACTCTGTAACTCAATTTTTGTTCCTGGGTTATAAATGTCATTTCCTAATTGGTTCTATTATGAAAACATGGAAAAGGTTTATTAAACTGCAAATACGGTACTTTGTTTTTGCGGGACATCCTGCAGCACATTTTGCTATAGCTTTTCAATTAATATCGCATTGAATCTCAATGAATTCAGCATAGTTTGTGGCAGCCATAAAAATGAAGTTTCCGGAGCATAACAACTACTTTCAAAGTAATTACCGCACAATTAAACAGGAATAACACTTTAAAACCAAGAACAAATCAACCCCCCCCCAAATTTTGTTACATAGTATTATACTTATAATATGGGAATGAGGCAGAATGTTACTGGAGGATGCCTTTCCTCTAGAGTTGGATAGGTTATTAATAAAATGATTTGGAAGTTCGGAAAGTTTTCAATTTTTTTAAAAAAAATCGGAAGTGACTTTAGAATTGAACCACTAGCGCTCCCTACATTTGAAACAAGCTTTGATTCTTCTTC